ACGAAATTGGCAGGATACAAATAGCACAAAATATAATAGTTCATGACATGAATGGAATATTGGAAACAATAGGACACAAGTGACATTTTCCGGATAGTTCGGGTGTTGTAGTGGTATTAGCCCAAATAACTAAATTGGCCAAACCTGACGTTTGACCGTTATATTGGATGGTCAAACGCGTTGACTAACGGTCCACTGCCAACTCAGCAAATATAAATTTAAAAAATTCATGAATTCCACATAATATATATTTCTGAATTATTATATTTAAATTAAAAATTAAAACAAAAATAATAATAAATGAATAACACTGCCCTTTCTCTTTCTTCTAACTTTTCTTTCTCTTCCTTCTCCTCGACGATCTCTGTCCCCAACAAGGAGGCCGCCGGCGGCGCATGGCGATGAGGGGAGTTTTAAGAGACTGGAGAGTGGGATCAACAACAGGAATGGTGCCACCGAGTCCGTGTTCCAGCAACATGAGTTTTCACACCATCGGAACCAGAGGTGGGTGCATCTTCCTCTAACGATTTGCAAGGCTCTGACGTTCGGATCTGAGTTGGTTGCGGAAGAACAGAAGGGAAGGTATAATGGATTTGAGAAGATCAATTTTGAATATTGATGAGATTTGAGAAGATTGATTTTGCCGCCAATTTCAAATCCCATAACAAATGGATCATTGGAGTTCAATTTTCCCCTTGGAATGGGTTTTCTAGCCGCTAATCGTCATCAATTCCAAGCGGTTTTTTTTCTTGAGGCTTAATGGAAGAGCGTCGTAGATGAAGGGTTTCAACGGTGGCGACGACAAAGTGGGGAAGAAGGCTTCCAGTGGTGGCGACGGCGAAGTGGAAACAATTGGGGATTTCTCTACACGATTGGGGCATCCGTTGGGTACGGGCTCCTGATGACCCTAATCGAGTCTTCTTCGAAAAGGTGGTGAGTAGGGCTGCAAATGAGCCGAGCTGCTTGCGAGCGACTTGGCGTTCGACTCGAGAAAAGCTCATTCGAAACTCGGCTTGTTAATAAATGAGTCGAACATGAGCTAAACTTTGTTCAGCTCGCAAGCTAGCTCATCTCGGTGGCTTTTTTAGCTAAACACGTGAACTGACTCGTTTAGAGCTCATGATATGTCTCAACATGTGGCTAGAGAGCCAACTCGATTACCGACTTATGGACGAATCAATATATATCTTATGATTTTAATTCATATGGTTGTTAAATTGTATATCTCGCCATATATAAAGTTTAACACGTTGAGTATGTGAACAAATATATCTTATTTTCTATTTTAAAAAGGAAATATGTATCATAGATTGCTACGATACTATGAAATAATATGATTTGGAGTAGTTAAAATTTATAACTAAATGATGTATGATATCAACAAAGTATAATATGAGATTAGCTAACAAAATAAATCATATGTATCATGATATACAAAATGAAGTACCAAATAAAAGTCAAGATTTTATTAAACAAGCTAGCTCGAGCAGCTCGTTTATTAACGAGCCGAGCTCAAGCTGGGGTAAAACTCGGCTCGACTCGGCTCATTTGCAGCCCTAGTGGTGAGCGGACGTTCAAGGTGATGGTGGACGTACTGGTGTTCTCGCCGGCGGTAGCCAGTGGTGCGGGGCTGTTCAACAGCGGGGAGTGGAAGGGGAGAGGAGATTGAGGGGTTTAATTTCTTTTTTTACTTTTAATTTTATGTTTTAATTTTCTATTTAATTTTATTATAATCTTTCAAAATTACATAATATGTCGAATTTAGTAATTTTTTAAGTATTTTTATGCTGACTTGGCGCGTTGACCGTTAGTCAACGCGTTTAACCGTCCAAGTTAACAGTCAAACGTCGAGTTTGGCCAATTTAGTTATTTTGATGTATAGTTTGGGCCAGGATGTTATAGATCATAAAGATTGGCCAGGATGTTTATTTTGGTCAAAGTTCAGACCATACAAATATATTAACCCTTTATTCTATTATGATTTAGCGTACTTTGTTAAACTGATAATTATGATTAGCCAAAACTCACTTCCATAGCCATAACTTTGGACTTTGTGACAAATATAGCAAAATTCTGAGAAATACACAAAAATAGCCAAAATTTTGAAAATGCGTTGACAATTATAGCCATTTCCGTTATTAAATGTGACGTCGTTAGGGACGCCGTTAGTTACATGTTTGGGAGTCCCACCATATGAAGAGCCATGCCACTAGAGCAAGAAGTTGGTATGGCCCCGTCGCTGAGGTGGCCGAATTATGGACTCCACGTCGGCGCCAACTGGACTGGATTTGCCACCACCGTGCCACGTCATCCTGAGGAGAGAGAACCGGTTGGGGCAATTAAATATGCCCAGCGACTTCTCCTCCATCTAATTTTCGATTTCATCTTCCTCCCAGAAAAAGCCTAGTCGATAACAGCTTCGGCCTCAAAATCGGGAGCTACATTTCCAACAAGAGGAAGCTCACTCTGCAAACAGAACGCACAACATACAAATAGAAGAGCAATTACCAAGCTGAAATTACAACAAAATTCGATATGGGAATATGGAAAGGAACCCCAATTAATTTAACAAACGAAAGCAATTGATTTGGAGGGAGTGAGAGAATCATATAGTGGCTTTGACGACGTAGCTCTTCCTGGGGGCGAGGTTAGCGGGGGAGCGAGCATTGGCGAAGGCGGAGGATTGGAAGAGGGGCTTGCAGAGGCCGAAAAAGGAGTTGGGAAGAGGGGCTAGGGTTTTGGAAGGTTTAGATAAGGGAGAGGTCGTGGATTTGGTGGTCGAGATGGAGGAGATAAGAGCGGCAGAGGTAGCTGAGCACGCCATGGTGTTCTGCCGGCGGGAGGTTCCAGCAGCTGCTGCTGGTGAGGGTAACTGTGTGGGAAGTGGCGGAGAAAGGAGAGTGAAGCAAACAGAGGTGAGAGTAACAGAAGCGAGGGGCAAGGAGTAACAGAGGCGAGGTAGAGGCGAGGGGTACTCACCAAAACGGATTAGGGTTCGAGCTTCGTTCTTCTGGGTTTTTTCCGGAATCGATAGTTTCGACCTTCGCCGATAAAGATCGATACAGTCGACTCTTCCTCTTCGCCGTCGATGACTGGAAGCGACGTCCCAACTTGCTATTAAGCTGCAGGATGGTGAATGGCCACCTCTGTGTTTGTCAATTAAGATGGATACGGAGGGAAGTTCGAGGACCAGATGATAGAGGCGAGAGGATCCGGCGGAGGCGAGATGACCGCATGATTGTGTTTGTCAATTCACAGTCACCGCGAAGAGAATCGAGGTGAGAGTGGGGATTTAGGGTTTCTGCTGGGTCTTCTGCGAAGAGGAATGAAGAAGAACGAATGGGGCGGAGAGTGAATATGAAAAGGTAAAAATTTGGTAAAGTAGGGTAATTTTATATTAATGAAAATAATTAATTACATTTCCACCGTGGCATACACGTAGACCAAATTAAACGCGACCATTTGCGACTGTTTGTCTAGTCAGCAGGCGTCATGTTTTCTGTTAAATTATTGGACGGAATGGCTATTTTTGTGTATTTCTCATAATCTGACTATATTTGTCACAAAGTGCAAAGTCATGACTATGTGAACTTTGCCTTATGATTAACTTACCGATACATAGGACAAAACTATACAATGTTACCATTATTTAGCTTAGTTATTATAGTTGAAACTACTGATAATTGTCGAAAACATATTTATCTTGTGTGCTTAATGTGATTATTTCATGATATGTTTTAGACATATAATGCTTATTTTAGGGTCGATTGACTATTGAATGGTTGCAAAACCATTACCATCTTGTGTTAGAATTTTGATATATTTTAGATGGAGAAACAAGAAAAGATTGATGCCCAAGCAAAATACCACAAGTGGACCGACCAATGGCCAATTCCAAACCAAACCAGCTTGAACCAGCAAAAAGTAGCAGCCGCATTAGAGGAATTATTTGGACCGGAAATGACACATATATGGGAGCAATTGATTTGGGCCAGGGGACTTGGGCTAGGATCTTCAAATGGCTGGGGAGGAATTATTATAGGAGGGCTTTGGTGTTTATATTTGGGCCCATCTTGTTTATCTTCGGAGGAGCTAAACGCAGAAGAGGGAAGAGGCAATTATTTGGGGGACTGATTTTTTGGACGGACAGGGAGAGGAGGCAGCAGCGCAGCGACGAGGGGAATGCAAGCAGCGAACAGAATTTGTTCCAAGAGCTGGGCGATAGCGAGAGTTTGATCAACATCGCAGCTTGAGTTATCGAGTATTTTTGTTCCTTCTCTTTTCATTAGTTTTATGAGGATAATGAACATGGTTATATCTTTTGATTTCATCATGAACTAAACCCCAATTTCTGGGGGAAACACCATAGGATATAGCTATTTCTTGATTTGATGGATTGATTCGTATTTCTTTTCCTCCAATCTCTATTGCATGAAATTACTTAATGCTTTGTGTTGACTGGCCACCAATGCACTGAATCGTAGTTAATTAGGTTATTAGCGACAGTGAAACCCTAATAACTGAACATATTTCATGTGACAAAGTAACTTATCGAAGCGACAGTGGATTAAATAAGGTGCTATGCGGTCTTAAATAGGATATCGATCTTCAGGCTAAATAATTAAATCATTGAGCTACGACAGTAGGATTTGATTTAATTGTTTAGTACGTAGTAATTCCCGACAGGGATAGCTAGCACAGTAATGATATCCTGGCTGTAGAGATATGGATTAAATTGATTGGAATATGTGAATTAATTTGGATATGATAGGTAGCGAGTCCCGGTGTTTTTCCCAGAGCTGTCTCCCATTGATTTTCTCCCGACAACTTTAATTTGCTTGTTTTGTTTAATTATTTTGCTATTAGATAATAATTTCATCCACCAAACCATTTTCACCTGTAGTGTGCCCCATCAAATTGATAGAATATAAGGTTGTACCAGTCCCTGAGAGACGATACCCGGACTTTCCGGTTTTACTACAAGATAGGAATTGAAGCATTACGCTTTTGCCCTATCAAGTTTTTGGCGCCGTTGTCGGGGACTGCCATACCTTATTTTTGTCGATTTTTGTGAGTGAACTATTTTGATCGGTGTTCTAGTGTGCAGGTGAATTTTTCAGGTGTATCCTCCTTGTGCATGCCAAGGAGGACGACCGGCAATTTACTGCCACTTGATCTAGAGATAGAGAGGACCTGCCGACAGAACAGGAAGCAAGTCAAGTTAGGGAAGCAGCCTACCACATCCACAACTCCTAGGCCTTCCCTAACCAAGAACCGTCAACAGAGAGGGCAGGCTTCATCACCTGTCGTCCATACACCACTGACACCACCACCTCGTGAGGTTGAGCCAGACAACATGGCAGACGAGGATCGATCAATCAGGGCTCGTCTGAATCGAAGGACTGGAGCCCGAGTTTCATGTGTTGTCATCCCGGATGGGGATGCAACCATGGAAATTACCCAGCATTCATCAATATGATACGCGAACATCTTCGACGATTCGCGAGCATATGTGATACGATGAAGAGCCCAACTGTGTCTGATGATGCAATTCGTCTTCGGATGTTTTCATTCTCTTTGATAGGGAATGCATCACACTGGTTTCAGAACTTAACACCACGTTCCATCACGACATGGGCTCAGCTTGAAAAGGTCTTTCTAGATAAATACTTCCCACCTGCCTTGGCAATGAAGAGGCAAGAAGAGATTGTTACTTTTAAGCAGGCTGATGATGAGAGTCTAACTGAGGCATGGGAGCGCTATAAGGGACTATTGATGAGATGCCCAAGCCATGGTCTTGAAGATTTGAACGTGATCATTATTTTCTTCAATGGAATCAGAAGGGAGTTCCGGGATGCCCTGAATAATGCTTCTCGAAATGGTTTCACAAGCATGGAGGCACCAACAGCATATGATCTGGTAGAGAAGATTTGTTCAGAAGCCACTGGGTGGGGTAGTGAGACCAGTATTCGAAGAAGAGGAGGCTTGCATGAGATAGACAAAGTTGCGAGTTTAGAATCAAAGATTGATGCTAAACTGGATTCTAAGTTCGATGCACTCGAACGAAGGTTGGCCAAGATTGCTCTTGGTAGACAAGAGGAGGTTGCTTCATGTGAACTTTGCGAGGGTCCTCATCATAGGGATATGTGTCCACTGGGAGCTGCTCAGTTGGAAGATGTCCAGTATATCAATAATCCGCGAAGTCAAGGCCAGGGTGGTATATATTCAAATACATATAACCCTCAATGGAGACATCACCCCAATATGTCATGGTCAAACAATAATCCAGCTGGTGTTCGAAACATCCCACCTCCTGGTTTTCAACAGCAGCAGCCTCAACCAGAGAAGAAACCCCAGCTGGAGGAGTTGATTTTGGCTCATATGCAGAAAACAGACAATAATTTCAAGGGCCTGGATCAATTTGTCACTCAACAGCTAGCCATCAACAATAATTTACAATCGTCTATGCTACCTATGGAGAGGCAGATGGGACAGATGGCTCAAACTTTGGCAGATATGCAAGGCAGGATTCCTGGGACATTACCGGCTAATACCGACAGGAATCCAAAGGATGCAATGGTTGTAGCAGTCACATTGAGGAGTGGAAAGGCCTTGGAGGATCCAGAGAGTCCAAGGAAGTCGACAAAATCCAAAAAAGAAGGAGTTACAGAGGTAGAGAATGAAGAAAGTGCAAAAGCTGAAAAATCTGATGTGCACAGGCAAACTGCATGCAATCTGCCTGTGCATGAGCATTCTGCCTGTGCAACTCCAAAGGTGAAAAAATTCAAGAATGAAGAGGTAAAGCCTTATGAACCTCCCGCACCATTCCCTCAAAGGTTAATGAAGCCCATGGAAGACCCAAACTTCAATAAATTTGTGAATATCTTCAAGCAACTTCAAATCAACATACCGTTGGCGGAGGCACTTAAACAGATGCCTACATATGCTAAATTCTTAAGGGAGTTGCTGACAAAGAAGCGCAAATCGGCTGATCTAGAGAAGGTAACCCTTACTTCTGAATGTAGTGCTGTGATTCAAAATAAACTACCAGAAAAGAGGGATGACCCGGGCAGCTTCACCATTCCATGTGTCATTGGAAGTACAGAGTTCGATAAATCACTTTGTGATCTTGGAGCAGGAATTAATTTGATGCCATACTCAGCCTACAAGAAATTGGGATTGGGAGATGTTCTAAAGCCTACTCGGATCACACTCCAATTGGCTGATCGATCACTGAAAATTGCAAAGGGAGTGGTGGAGAATGTATTGGTGAAGGTGGGGAAGTTTATTCTCCCTACATATTTTGTGATTCTGGAGATGGAAGATGATCGGGGAGTGCCTCTCATTCTTGGGAGACCTTTTCTAGCCACTGGCGATGCACTCATCGATGTCGGGAGAGGCAAGCTGACATTCCGAGTAGGTAAGGAGGAGGAAATTTTTAATGTCTTTCAAGTTTATCATAATCACGATGCATCTGATGACTTTGAAAGTGGAGCTCGAGAAAGAAAAAATTCTTCTTCCTGTGATAGTGGACCATCCGAAGAACTATCACCTATCCTATCTGCTCAGATTCTGAAATCTAAGCAAGGACAGAAATCCTTGCCAGATCACCTCAAGTATAGATATTTGGGTAAGGATTTCAATCTTCCTATTTTTATTCCTTCTTCACTGACATTGAAACATGAAGAGTACTTGCTTGAGGCTCTGCAATACCACCTACGCCTCACTAAGGGGTCCAACATGCAAGCTAAGGTCATACCCAATTTTCGCACACCTGGCCCTGCAGAGGTGACTCATATGTTGGATGGAGGTTATGCATTCTATCATTGCTCGGGAGGGTATTCTGGATACCTTTCCATACCCATTGGTTGAAAGCTCCATGAACGTAAGTCTGAGGACGTTAAACAAGCGCTTCTTGGGAGGCAACCCAAGGTAAGTTTTCTTTTCTTTATTTTTCTTTTTAGTGGTGTCAAACTCGTGCATGTTTAGATTAGGAGTTGAACATTAGGGACATTGTTCCATCCTGAGTGTGAGGTGGTGAGTCTTAGTGTTGTTTGTCCCTGTTGCATGTGGCAAAAAAAAATTTGTCGTTTGCCTGTGCAAAAAGCAGTCTGCCTGTGCAAAGCTAATGGCTAAAAAACACCAAAAAATCAGAAAAATTAAAAACAAAACCTTGTACTCTTGTGGTAACATGATGTAAATGATCGTGATGCCTGGAAAATGAGTTTGTGCTTGAATGAAATCATCAAAATCACCCCACTAGTGTTGAATTGCATAGTTCTTCACAATGAGCTTGAATGTTTTGACTGACTTGATATGCTTTGAATGAACAAACTCTTTTAGCAACGTTCTCTTTTGTGAGGATAGTGTAATGCCTTATGGTGAAGTAGTTAGGTGGAGAACATTGACCATTCGACATGTTTGGATACCGTGCTTACTTGCATCAATTGTGAGCTTTTGACTTTGCATTGAGTCTCTCTGTTTTAAAAGGTTTTATGATGGGGTGAACTGTATCTTCATAAAAGAAAACACTACCTGACAAGTAAAATATAAGAAAATTGCCATAACAAATTAAGTGTGGGTAAAAATGCCAAAATCATGTGAGGCAATCACTCATTGCACCTGGGGATGAGGAAAGATTCAATTGAGAATCGGTTCGCGACCGTACGATGTTGCTTATCAAGTACGATCCCCAGTTGAGTAGAGTGCCATTAGAGGATGTGCAATGACCCTCCACACGGACCGAGGATAAGGAGTTAAAAGAATCCCTTATGCGAGTGCTAAGAAGCAGAAATTGCTCTTGCTCGGTCACCGGTAGTAAGAAACAAATCCCACTTGTACTAAATACGACCACTCGGCAAGCAAAATCAGAAAGAGAGAAAGCCTCTCCTTGTCATAAAAGGTAGTGATGTGCTTAAAGTTAAAATCATGTTTGCGAAAGGCTTCCCCATTAGTTTTTAGACTCCTGCTTTGTTAATTGCTTATGATTGGTGTGAGTAAGGCAGATTGTCCTCACGAGATATGCACCTCACTGATGTGGTTAGATTCTCCTAATAATTGTTGCACCATAAGTTGTTAACCACCCACTACCGACGATCTGAATTGAGTGTTTGCTAATTGAGTTTTTGGTGGATTTGAGTCAGTCAATGTTAAAGGGTTGCAAGACCTGTGGGGTGAAAGGTATGATCATTAAAGCACAGTACATCCAGTGAGAAAGAAACTACTGATTATCACAAGAGTACAAGGGTAAATTTCTTGTGTTAATGTTGTGTTTTGTGTGTCGTGGGTCTTGTGTTTTGAGTTATGTTGTGTCTCCCTAGTCTGTGATGTGTTTTCTCCAATTATCGTTCTCTTGTCTGAATTGTTGCTTAGGGACAGGCAAGTATTGAGTGTGGGGTTGTGATAATTGTCGAAAACATATTTATCTTGTGTGCTTAATGTGATTATTTCATGATATGTTTTAGACATATAATGCTTATTTTAGGGCTGATTGACTATTGAATGGTTGCAAAACCATTACCATCTTGTGTTAGAATTTTGATATATTTTAGATGGAGAAACAAGAAAAGTTTGATGCCCAAGCAAAATACCACAAGTGGACCGACCAATAGCCAATTCCAAACCAAACCAGCTTGAACCAGCAAAAAGTAGCAGCCGCATTAGAAGAATTATTTAGACCGGAAATGACACATATATGGAAGCAATTGATTTGGGCCAGGAGACTTGGGCTGGGATCTTCAAATGACTGGGGAGGAATTATTATAGGAGGGCTTTGGTGTTTATATTTGGGCCCATCTTGTTTATCTTCAGAGGAGCTGAACGCAGAAGAGGGAAGAGGCAATTATTTGGGGGACTAATTTTTTGGATGGACAGGGAGAGGAGGCAGCAGCACAGCGACGAGGGGAACGCAAGAACAGAATTTGTTCCAAGAGCTGGGCGATAGCGAGAGTTTGATCAACATCGCAGCTTGAGTTATCGAGTATTTTTGTTCCTTCTCTTTTCATTAGTTTTATGAGGATAATGAACATGGTTATATCTTTTGATTTCATCATGAACTAAACCCCAATTTCTGGGGGAAACACCATAGGATATAGCTATTTCTTGATTTGATGGATTGATTCGTATTTCTTTTCCTCCAATCTCTATTGCATGAAATTACTTAATGCTTTGTGTTGACTGGCCACCAATGCAATGAATCGTAGTTAATTAGGTTATTAGCGACAGTGAAACCCTAATAACTGAACATATTTCATGTGACATAGTAACTTATCGAAGCGACAGTGGATTAAATAAGGTGCTATGTAGTCTTAAATAGGATATCGATCTTCAGGCTAAATAATTAAGTCATTGAGCTACGACAGTAGGATTTGATTTAATTGTTTAGTACGTAGTAATTCCCGACAGGGATAGCCAGCACAGTAGTGATATCCTGGCTGTAGAGATATGGATTAAATTGATTGAAATATGTGAATTAATTTGGATATGATAGGTAGCGAGTCCCGGTGTTTCTCCCAGAGCTGTCTCCCATTGATTTTCTCCCGACAACTTTAATTTGCTTGTTTTGTTTAATTATTTTGCTATTGGATAATAATTTCATCCACCAAACCATTTTCACCTATAGTTAGCCCCATCAAATTGATAGAATATAAGGTTGTAACAGTCCCTGAGAGACTATACCCGAACTTTCCAGTTTTACTACAAGATAGGAATTGAAACATTACGCTTTTGCCCTATCAACTACATAGTGACTTTTCTACAAATCCTGTAATGTAACTTGATTCCACCTATCAATCTGAAGTTCAAATTACACGAGTCGTCTATTCCATATCATATCAATCAAATTCCACACCATATCACCCAAATTTCATAAACATGAATTAATTATTGATGTACACAAACCCTCCAATAAAACTCCTCCGTTTCCTCCCTAATTACATGAGTTGATGACAATTGGACACAAAGCTAATTTCTCAAATAAAGAAAACGCTCAAACAAAACACACAAAAAAAATGACATAAAAAAAAAGGATTATAGAAATCCTCATCAGAAGTCAAATCCATCGTCAAACCCGGCACCATAACCCGCATCATAAGCCGCCATATCCCCAACATCTGAAATCATATCACCGACCAACAACCCGCCCAGCAACCCGGCTCCGACTCCCAGCGCCATCTTACCTCCGCTTCCTCCGCCGCTCTTGTGAGGCCTCTGCGCCATCGGAGCTCCGTACCCGCCGTAGGCGGGCTGCGGCGGATAACCCGTGTACCCACCGTAACCCGGCTGAGGCGGGTAGCCTCCGTAAGCAGGCTGAGGCGGGTAACCCGGTTGGGCCGGGTATGGATACGGGTACCCGCCCTGCGGATGACCCGGATAAGCTCCGTGTTGAGGCGGAGGAGGCGGCGGCGGTTGGTACGGCGGGTAACCCGAGCTGCCGCCCGCCCCGACTCCGAGATTTGGCGGGTAGGCCATCATCGGCTGGTTCGGATCTTGCTTCACCGCCTTCGGCGAGGCGGCCGGGGCGGAGAATTTCTCGCCGAACTTGTAGGCGAACGTCAGCGTCCCTTTGCTCTTGCCGTTGGGAGTCCTGACCGCGTAGGTCGTCGATTTCTCCCCCGCCGCCCCAGCGGCGTCGAAGAGCTCCTTGACGGGGACGTTGACCTCGCCGATCTCGCGGTCGCCGAGGCTGCGGTCGGAGAAGATCTCGAATTTGATTGTGAGGCGGTTCTGGTGGAGGGAGGGCTCGTCGACGGTGAAGCTGACGCGGTGGTTCCACCTAGGGTTGGGGCCGCAGTCCTTGTCGACGGGAGTCTTGTGCTTCTGCTGCTTGGAGCTTTTGGGGTCGCCTTTGATGGAGGCGACGGCGTAGACGTCCATCTTGGAGAGGAGGTTGACGTCCTTGAGGTCCTTCGCTGATTGGATCGTGATCTCTATCGGCCTGCACTCCATGATCGGTATTCTTCTTCTTCTTTTTTTTTTGGTTTCAGGAGAAAGAGGGAACGAACAATTGGGAAATTTAGGGTTCGGATTGAAGATTTGGGGGAGAAATTGAGACAGAGGATTCCGTTTCTGTGTTTGTTTGGCGGTGGAGGAAGGCGGAGGGAGGATTATATAGGGAGAGAGGGGCGACGGACGGGAAAGTTCGGAGGAAGGGGAAAGTCAATCAGAAAAGGTGGGGATATTTAATTATGAGTGTTTTTCCACGATTTTTTTTTATTATTATTTGATGATAGGATAAATGCTTTTAGCCTTTTATCGGATTCTTTTGCTTCTTTTTTAGGGAATGTAAATAACTAAATATCTAACGCGTTTTTTTTTTTATTAAACAGAAAATAGAAAATCGGTTAGAAAGAGGGAAAAGGTTTTAATTCGGGAATTGGGGTGAATTTGATGTATCTGTGTTGAAATGTTTAGCTAATTCAACTTTGCTGCGAATTGATTTGACACATCAACAATACACTTAAATACGACAAAAATCTAGTATAACTGTATAAATAAGCAAAACATTTAAAAAATGGCCAATTAAGCTAAACAAATGAGTAAGCTAAAAAAAAGCAGCGTTGACTTGATATGGTGGTAGTGTCACTAGTCTATAGTTAAGAGAAATTGTTCGGACGGTGACTTGATCTAGCATATCTTCTATTTAGGGATGACAACGCGTTTGGGTGAGATCGGTTTTCTTATATACCATTCCGTGTTAGGGTTATAAAGTTGTAACCAACCACATAGCCAAAACCATGCATGGATATATGACATACCAAAACCAATCTGTATATGGTTTGGGGAAAACGTTCAACCTACACCATCCTCTAACAATCTTATATGCACTTCTTGACATAGTCTAATATTTTTTAGAATGTCGATGTTAATTGAAGTTTCTTTGTTGCATTGTTTGTAAAACTGTGAGAAAATGAATAAGATGTGAGGTCTCATAAATAATTATAATGTTTGAGGGATAGTTTTTTTTATTACCTAGGAACATCCCCACACAGTACACACACCACTTAAGCGATGGCGGAGCGAGACTAAATCTGGAGGTTCATCTACTTGACCAATTTGGGCCCTCCACAAAGATTCCCATTAAATGCCTCCGGGAATATACAATAGCGGATCTCGGTGGGGTTCGAACACAAAATCTGCCATTTTCCGGAACTAGCGCCCACTAAGAGTTTTCACCACTAGGCTATGTGAGCTTTGGCTAAAATAGAACATACTTATAACACATATTCGGATGAACTCGATTCATGCAGATACTTAAAATACCAAAACCGCACCAAACGCGTTATCCTCTTTGCCCGATTTCGTGATAAAAATACTATCATTCGAATTTTCTCCAAAAAAAATTGATTCGAATTCGATTGGGTACCCGATACATAAAGTATTTTTACCATCCCTACTTCCACCGAAAGGACTTACTATTCGAGGAGCATTTAGAAAATTAGAAGCATAAATGCATAATGTATGAAAGAAAAAGAGAATTGTTGCGTTTCCTTTTTCTTGTTATCAAAGAAATAGAATTATTCCGGATAAGTGGGAATATGCGAGATAATAAAAGAAAAACGAAAAAGGAGCTTCAGAAAATGAATGCCTGGGAGCCGCGTGTAGTGCGCGTATCTCATTCTTATGCCACTAAGCGGGATGGGGTTAAGTCTCTGTTCTCCAATCTCCTTTCTATCGGCGGGCGGATCCGTTTTCCAATTTCCTTTCTCCCTAAGGATTCGTCATCCAGCCTCTCATCCCACCACGCGCACAAACGAAACGCGTACTTCGTACCTATCGCCTCTTAGTCGGTTGGGCTCTGTTCAAGGTTGTCAACCCGCGGGTCGACCCGCGGGTTGACCCATTTGACCCTGACCCGGTAAAAAAAATGGGCAGCACGTACTCGTCGAGTCGACCGCCACAAGGTACCGGGTTGGAGGTCAAATTGGATCTTTTTTTCTTTGTTTTGCGAAATGCGCCTATTTTCCAATTTTTCTTTTTGCCTAACTCAATCTTTGGAATTCTAAGTTGAACATTTGAATATTATTGTTATATAAGTGTGTGTGAATTTTCACTATATGTTGAATCTAAGTACGAAATGTTATATTGGTGTAATATTATATATTATAATTCATATGTTAGATGAGATTTGATATAATTTATCAGGATAAATACAATATAATGACTCTGTTATAATCAAAACTATTTAGTCGGTTGTCGATAAAACTATCAAACAATTTGGGCTTATAATTGATCACACCATATATAATAATCGGTTAATTGTAATCTTATAGTCGTTTATCAATCATTTTGTTGATTAACCGAATAACCGTTAAACAAGTGATTAGATCAAAATAATTAATCGATAACATAACCAATAGCAGGCCTCCTTTTTTAATTGTGTATTTTTGTATTTTTTTTCTTTTAATTTTTATCATTAAATAAAAGACAATTTAACATAGATATCATCCATAATTAACTCAATCCAACACAAGTATAAATAACATCATTCTACCATTAAAAAAAATCCGGTAAGTTATTACCGTCAAGTTTTATTAAAGAAACAGACAAGAATAAGATGTTCAACAACATTTACTCAACTCATAAACAACACCACCAAATTACATAAAAGTTCAAATATTGGTGATTATTGTATAACCCTTGTATAGCCCTTACCAAATTCTTGCCGAAATATGATCATGCACGAATAATAACATACGGTAATACACAGATAAATGTTGGAACTTGGAAATTGATATTATGAGAGTATTGAAGAGCAGTGGCGTAGCTAGACTTTCAGTTGATTGGGGTCCTGTAAAACAAATTAATAATGTAAAGATAAAAGAATTTTAAAAAATACATAGATGAAATTTAATACGTAATTTCAATGTTTTACTAATATAATACATATGTTTGTTTCTACAATGAGTCACAACATGATTTTATATTTTGCAAACATTGTAAACTCATTCACGGTCTAGAATATTAAACACGTCTTTTATCCTGCCAAGAAATTGTTCGGCTACTCATCACTTATTCGATTTGAAAACTTGTTTGTGATGCATAACTGAAAATGACCTTTCAACGCTTGTAGTAGGAACAAACATAATAAGTGTAAGCTTAATAAACACATAAACTAAGAGTTATAACTTATAAGCCCAATATGCCATTTTGCTATACAACTTTACAAAACATATCCATCTACTATTTCTTATATCAAACATGCTCATGTAAATTGGAAAAATTATGAAACATTCCGTTCTGTTAAAATTTGTATCCAAAGACTGTCAAACATAATCGAATCTTGGTTTGCAAGGAAAAACATCTAAAATATCCCTAATAATTTCACCTAAGCATTTTTGTTTCTTTTGTATAGCCCACTACCCCTAGTAATTTCACTTTAAGGAGACTTAGGAAAATGAATGATGGGACAAAACTGACATTTTTCTATAATTTTGTTGAGGTTAGGTCGTTCGAACCACAGTTTGATAGTAATTAATAATTTTTGGATGAAAATTTAAACAATGTTTTATAATAAAAATCAAAATATATGAGCATATTTGATGTAAAAAATAATAGAGCAACATATTTGATAAAAATGCATAATAGAACTACATATTATATCTATAACCCATAAACTAATAGATAAATAATTATGATTTATCTCTTTACACCATCTTTCTGCTCAGCTCATCTATACTCCCTTCAAACATTTGAACCTATCATCCCACCCAGTTGCAGGAGCTCTTTCTATTAGGATTCTGAAATGGAAAGAGAGTTACAAAAGAATAACATTAGCTCTTTTCAATTAGGATTTTAAAACAATAATTATAATAGTGATTCCATCTTTAATATTTAGAAATAGCTTAAAAATTATTTAATCGAAGTAGTCTTCTTGTCCTTTTGGTGGAGTTGCATACAAGACAATGGCGTCCTGGATTTTGGGGTAAGGAAAAAATAGGAATGTAATGGAGTCCTGAATTTGAAGCCCCTCTTGAAATCCATATAATGCCCAATATCATTAGTAAACTCGAACTATGAATAATGTATCATTTGTGTACTAAAGTATTCAATATGACAATTGTGTCCTAAACTATTTTTCCGTGAGAGTTGACTGGCGCTGACCGTTAGTTTTTAACAGAAAGTTTTGTCAGCGCTGATGTGACATTTGACGTGGAATTTTTTTTAAAATGAATAAAATAACAAAAGAAAATAAAAAATCAGATTTGAAGATCTGCATCTCCAGTGAACAACTCTAATAACAATCATCTTTATATCCCTAAACCAACGACCGCTTGGAAATCTTCACTCACGACCACCATCAGATGACTCCTCCTCCGCCCAGACCAGGGCTTTACCGTCGAATCCGAGGGGGAGCTTGGATCGAGGCTTGGAAATCTTCACTCACGACCGCCCCATCGCTGCATTCCTCCTGCGGATTCCTCTTCACTCAGACCACCATCAGATGACTCCTCCTCCACGACTCGCTCTTCCTCTTCTCCTTCCCCTCCTCGTCGTGCCACAAAGACCCACCAATAAAGTGAAATTTCAACCCACCAGCTGCTTCTTCGATTGACAGAGGCTTTAACAAAGTGAATGTGAAAGTGAAATTGAAATTGAAACTCACCAGCTGTTTCTTCGATTGGGTAATTGGATTTGGGGGTTTTCTTGGTTTCAATGGAAGGTAGAGGAAGAAACAGCGAAGCTGGCGGAGGGAGGAGCGGGCCTCGGCGGCGGGGAGGGCGAGCAGGATCGTTATTGGGGAGGTCGGAGAGAGATTGGGGGTTTTCTTGGTTTCAATGGAAGGTAGAGGAAGAAACAGAGAAGCTTGCAGAGGGAAGAGCGCAAGGGGAGGAGGAGCGGGCCTCGGCAGCGTGGAGGGCGAGCAGCGGCGAGGAGAGTCGTGATTGGGGAGGTCGGAATTCTGCTAGCGCTAAGACTAGGCAGGCCTTCCGTTCTCCGATTCAAGCTGCCCTTTCTTATGGTATAGAGCAGGGAATGTGATCTTCTTTCTCAGAGTCTTTCTTCCAGTCAACGTAATCGAACAAGTCAGACTGGACCCAGTGTCACAGAATATGCAGGAGGATACTCCAGTATGGCGCTATTTACCGAATGGTCGTTTCAACCTTAAGTCTGAATACTCACTTACGAATAACGAGGAGCAACCAGGGGGTAACCACCCGGTGTGGAGGGCAATATGGAAATGAAGAGAAAGGTGTACGGATTTGGGACAACGTCTGCTGGAGAGGTTTTAGTTGCGGACTCGCGGCCCAGCCAATGGAGTAAGGTGCAGGCTAAGTCATAAGCTTGTCGTCATTTTGAGGTTCCATGAAGGTGTGGTTCTCGCGAACCGCGTAAGAAGTGTCTGGACACGACCGACGTTTTATGATTGAAGGGAGTTCAATTAGGCTCAATTACAGAATTGGTCCCCGAACTTTTGTTTTTTGTAAGATAATACGAGAACTCCGTTTAACCTGTGGACCATGGACATCTTATTCGGTAAATTTTTTCATAGCGACACCGCAGTGTCGGCCTAAATAGAATTAAAAGTACCCAAAGGAAGATTTGTGACAAAGCAGTATATAGAATTACAACCGAGCAGGGCATGGGAAAGGCAGGAGGTGACGGAGAAAGAATAGCGCCACAGAAGCTCAACATCACGACTAGTGCATCGGTTGGTGAAGGAATCCTTAGCGATGGGGGACGGACGAGAGGAAAAGGAACCGTTACCAATATATCTTTATATTAATTGTTAATAGGGTGTTAATACTAAGGAGGTTAACACCTATCAGATCTCACATAAGAGCATCTCCATTGGAATTGCAATTAGAATTGCATAATGACATGACATTCATTTGCAATTGCATAATGCATTTGTATTGATGTAGATGACAATTGCATCTTTGCAAGCTTGCATATAATGCAATTATGGAATGCAAGCCACATCATCTTTTTTATTATTAAATTATTCATTAATTTTATTATTTGAGTGTTTATGTTTTAATAAATTAAATAAAAAAATTAGTTGCAATTGCAAGTTAATTGCATTGATGTAGTACAATGAAAGTAAGATGAGTTGGATTGCAAAAAAATGAAGTAACAATAAAAAAAACAAATGCAATTGCAAATGTCATTGCACCAATGGAGATGCTCTAAGAAGGTTTTGAGTTGATTAGCCTTATTGAAAATCAATAATAAAACTACTAAACAAAATCCTTAACTAAACCACTTCCAATTTCTCCTCACATTTCTCATTTTCAATTTTCATCCATTGATCCAATTTCGAATTGGGCCCGACCATGGCCACCCTACTCAGAATTTTTTAGATTCTCGAACCATTTTACCTCCTTGTTGATTCTATCGTTAGTGTCCACAATATATCTCTAGTGTGCGCAATATAATACTTACTTACGGTATCGATTTGTACCGATGGCCAATGAACCAAGAAAAAGCTTAAACAGAAGTTAAACAAGAATCTTTCAAGCCACCCAAACCAAGAAACCAAAGGTGCAAATGAGAGTGGAAGTGGCCATTCACAGTGGCGTTTACATACACATCTTGAAACAGACATATCAACCCTCCTACCTTACCAGAACAAATATAAGAAAAGCACCCTCCTCCCCCTAACTAGCAAAAACAAGAAACTGAAAAAGAACCAAAAAAAATTAAAAACGAAACCGAAAACTACATCTCACCATTGATGATACTACTAACAATCGTCCAGCCGAAGTGCAAATTTCTCTTCAAAGTGGATGATAAGGCACGTAGCCGAGCACCCCAGTAACCCCGACCACCACCTCATTGCACCTCTCCAAAAGGCTCAGCATCTGCTGCGATATATCTACACCCTGTCGTCGCGGCGGCGGCCGCAGCCCGACAGCCTCCACCGGCCCAGAAGGAGGAGCATTATTGGCATTCTGACGATGCAAGTTCCTGTCAACTACTACTGCTTCACTCTCTTGCAAATTACTACTACTAGTACTATTGCCAGAGCTAGTGCTAATAATGGATGGATCTTTCGCAAATTGAGGTGGGAGAGGGAGTAAAGGAGGCGATGTAGATGGAGGAAGAGGAAGAATAGCCTTTTGATGAAAGCTCTTACTATTAACATCCATTGCAACACTAGTAGTAGTATTGATAGCATGGTTGCTGTTGTTGAAGTTGTTTCTACTGCTACTACCACCACCCATCGCCGCCGCCGGCGGCTGAGGCTCGCTCCGGCCACCAATGTTATCTTCTCCCCCCAACATGAACTTGACGCGCGGCGTTCCTCTCCCGCCATTCCCGTTCCCACCGCCACCCGCCGTGCCTTGCCCCCCTCCGCCCGGTTCGTCGCCGTTGGATTTCTTCAGTATGGACTTCAGCTGCACGTTGGACTGCCGCAGAACAGGCTGGTACAGCGGCTGCCGCTCAACGTCCTTCTCCGGTTCAGGACCTCCGCTTTCAGCGCCCAGCACGTCTCGGAGACTGTACTTGACGTCGACATTTCCAAACAAGTAGCTGTTTCTGTTAGCATACTTGAGTGCCGCCTCTGCATCTTGCCTGTACCGGAACACCACCCGACACGTCGAAGATTTCCAGAACACGCGGATCGCTGATGGATCTATTGACCCGAACCTGGCGAACCTGGCCTTGAGCTCGGCGACAGATGGGAGATTCGTCCGCGGTGGGAACTTCATCACCAGCATGGTCGGCTCGACGACTGGTGCCGTAGCCTTCGCTGACTTTCCTTCTGGTGGTGGTCGCTGACTTTCCCAGGATCTCTGCTGACCACCACCACCACCACCACCAGTTTTCTTCTCTGCGGCAGCTGCTGCCATGGACTTCATCTGACTCAGCTTCTGCGACTTCTTCGCAGCCATTTCCTCCTGGCGATCGCTCGGCAGCCGTTTTCTTCCGGATTTCGCCGGATCTTCAGGTCTCAACTTGACACGTTGCTGAGAAGAACCATCAGCACTGGTGGTCCCCACAGATTTCGAAGCACGAGGTGGAGCTTCGACGGAAGGCTCGGCCTCGGACTGTGTAGGAGAGACGGCCAAGCTTTTCTGATAGACTAGAGATCTGAATCGTAGGAAAAACTGTAGAGAGGCTGCTGATCGAGTGATCTGTGCACCATGGAAGGGGTTGACAGCCAAGGTATGCAAACCCTTTAGTAGTTGTGGAAGCTCAACCTCATTGGGATCGTTCACTCGAGAATCATCCTTGGGAGGCAAACTGATAAAACCAGATTTTTTCCCTGCAGGTTTTTTCATCTTCTTTTCATTGGAGAAAGATTTCTTGAGAGGGTCGGTGGCAGTCTCTGAACCGGTGTCTTTCTTCTTCTTCTTTTTCACTACCATAATAGTTTCTTCAGAGCTTCCATCCGGAAGAGGACGTTTGAGAATTTTGGCCTTCTTCTTCTTCACTTTCCCCTCGATGCTAGCCCCAACAGGAGGCTTCACCTCTCCCGGAGAATCCTGAGCACTATCAGTGGGGCCTAATGCTTTAGTGGTCTCTTCATACTTGATTTCCATCACAGCCTCGGCTACTTGCTGGGAAGATGATGATGAACCATGCAAACCGGGCAGACCTGCAGTAGCTATAGGGTAGAATTGCATCAGGACACAATATGCACTCGCTTTGTAAACAAAGGATAACAAGTATGCTTCTGAAAGTCAGAATGTCAAACTTCTCGTACCTTGGGCATCGAGGTTTTCCGAAACATGGTCGGACATGGCTGCTTCTTTCACAGAAGCATCTTCACTGGCAAGCCGATTTTCGTTGCTAGTATTCACCTGTGCTTCAAGTTCAGGAGCAGATGATGATTGCGGCGGTGCTCTTTTCTGTAACACGAAATCACTGGCTTCTACAACTGAAGTCCCCTCTACATAGGCTGCTGGGACTGAAGGGGTTGCTTCCATTTGACCAATTGGATGGGTTCTCGATTCACTCAGTTCATCTCTACGCTTGAAGAGATACTTATCTTTTTTGGAATGGTCCTTGACTTTCATATGCTTTTTGGAGCTCTTATTTCCACCACTTAGAGCTTCAGCTATCACCAGTGGACCGCTCAAAGGAGCTGGAGAAGGAGAAAACAATGAGATAAAACCAGAAAGATAATTCACATACAGCAAAGTAGCTTGAACTTTCTCAGTTTCATATCCTGTTATCTCCCTCCTATTGCTTCTTACTTGAGCAAGTATGCATTCTACCATTATGAGTAATTCGCACATAGATCAAGCATCAAGAAAAGTTTCAGCCGGGCAAACTTTCACATATGAGCCAAATACATTCATCACTAACAGAAGCACCAACACAATCTAACAGCAAAGTGCAGATAATTGTACAAAGCGATGACAGCTTTAGCAAAGAAGAAAATATCAATAGAATAATGCATCGCAAAACAGAGAAGCAAATGAAACATCCTGCAAGTATCACTTACAGTATAAGCATTCATCGCTGATACATAACCAATACTCTTGCAATAGACATGAAGAGAAAGAGAAATAATACCCCGAGTTCGCCCTTTAACAGGATGATCCAATACTTTGCGTGCTTCATCAGAACCCCGAGCATGCGGAGCTCCAAATGCCTGACCATATGTCTCATCAAACTCTTCAAACAAGGTTCTCCTCAAAGAGACAGCAGTAGCTTTGTTGCCAATGTAATCAATAGATAGTGGATCACCACCAACTGGATCACGAGCCAATCTCTTGAGGAAGGCAAGTGTAACGCTCGGCTTAAACCCATCTCTTGCCTTCTGAATCTGAGCTGCAGAGTACACTGCATTTGCCTCATAGTCTGGTACATCAACTTCAAAATAACCCGAAATGTTGGTTGACCTAAAATTACACTTATTTCTACACCTACAAACCAGAGCAAGCCCACACCTACGACTCGCCTCATCTACCGCCTCTTCTACTGCTTTTGTAAAAGTTCTTGAACTTGTTTGCTGCGATTTCTCAGCCAAATGAGGCTCAAACGGGATGAGCTCAGCTGGATCGAACCAGCCATAGCTGCTATCCCCAAAGAATGCAACGAGAACATGGCCTTCCCTCCTCGTGCGGCGTACAGAGGATGTTGCAAAAGCTTCATTGAAAATGTGGCCTGGCCACCATGGATGCGACTTCACTTTCCCCCACACCATATCACCAACATCGAATCCGAAACTCAGTGCCCTAGACGTCCCAAGCATGGCGCCATTCTTCTCATTAGCAACGAAAGCTTCGAATTCAGACAACAAGGACGTGTAAACCTCACCTTTCCCCTCGCCGGCCGATGAATTCTCCGTCTGCTGATCTTCTTCTTCTTCCTCCTCCTCCTCGTCGTCCACCTCTGAATCGTCTGGAGCGGCCGAGTCGTCATTCAACCCCTCATTTCTCTCGTTCTTCACCTCTAAAACCCTAGACTCTTGCACCATTTCACTGTCTACCCCACCACGAACTCGAAGCTCAGATCCTTCGCCCTCTAAAACCCTAGCACTATCCTCCGTGCCAGATGCTCCGGCCGCACCGTCCGTTTCCGAAACCCTACCCGCCGCTCCTGCTTCTTCCCGCCGTTCGTCCTCTTCCATATTAATCGGCTTTTCATCCAATTCGCCATCTCCGTTCGCGGCGGAGTTCATTTTCCAATGTCTATCGAACGCCTCTTTTATCAATTGGGAGGAGGAAATCCTAGCAATCCAAACCGGAGAACATAGCTGATTGCTTGCCGGAGCGCGCGCAGACCAACACGGGAGAAACCGCGAAGGAAGCAAAATCGAAAACGGAGAGTTTGCAGATTAACACGCAGATAGAAGAGCGAGAGCGAGAAGAAGAAGAAGAAGAAGAAGCTGAGGGAGAGGCTGGGCTAGAGGGGGTGTTTGGCTTGGATGGGAATTGGAAAGGAAAATGTGGGAAAGGTAAATTTTCGTTTTTCTTTATTGTTTTGAGCTTCTGCGGCTGCGGTGCGGAGGGGGTGATTAAAGCCACGGAGATACATAAGTCCAGTTCGGTGAGAGAATTTGCGGGCCTGGTCTCAAATAAATGGGCTCAAACTCGAACTTCTTTTTAGCTTGAACTTCGGGATTTGCATTTGGGTTGTGCTAGAATGAATGATAATATGATATTATGATAGTAGATTAGTAGTGATGCCAATGTGGTGGGACAGATACCTCACTATTTAGTTTTTATGTTCCGTCTCATGTGGGGTGAGGTGGGGTGGGTCAACTCACTTCTATATATTATAATAAAAAAATACATAATTTTTTTTTCTTCATTAACACAATGGGAAAAATACTTTACGAATGAAAATAGTGATAACAAAACAGGCAATGAAGTCTAACTAGTTGGAAAAAAAGTCAAAATATGATAAATATGAATATATATAATTATTTGAGGTAAAGTTGGCCAAGAACAGGGCGGATCAGAAATAGATACACATACCCCGCGTCACGCTACTATGGGTCGGGTAATATTCGTTCCAATGCAGGTCAGTTCGAGTAATACACACGGAACAGGTTCAAATTGTCATCAGTATTTGATAGACTCTGCTCTGCAAAACATAGACCAGGAAACCGGATCGTACCGGCCGGTTCAACCGGAAATTGGACCAAAAGCGGTACGGTGGGCTGCTTGTGCTGATTTTACCGTGCCGGCCGTTTTTTCGGTTTGACCGGTTGAACCGGCCGGTACGATCCGGTTTCCTGGTCTATGATTCAGCTTCATTTCTACGTATTCTCGTCCAATATGTGAAAAATAATTAAAAAAGAATATTATTTTGCTATTTTTCTATGTTGAAAATGGGTCACCGTGGTTATATAATGCTCTATTTGGTTCTTTTTTTGATGGATTATATTTTTTATACTATCGCATTTCGTTTCTTTATCAATAGTAAAAAACGGTATTTACCGGTACAAAACGGTTGAACCACGGTCGTACCACAAAATACCATACCAGAAAGAAATCCGGTATGATGTCCGTTACGTTTTCCTTTACCATGCTGCAAAATGTGTCATCTTACGAGGCATCTAGAAATGAGTTACATTACAACAAAATTCAAAAGGAAAAAGTAAGTGGATCGGCATTGTTTAAAGAAAATTATTAATGGCTAAGTTTAATTTTATTGTTCATGTTTAGATTTAGATTTTAGTTCTGCAGGTTTGGGATGAGATTGTGGAGGCGAGATACAAAGATGAAAACATTGTTATAAGAACCGAATCGGATAAACGGTCGTGTAGTAGAATCGTCAAATCAGTGATGATAACGGTCTGGTTCATTGCTTAGACGGTTATTGCTGGACCAAATGGGGTTTCACGGCTCAACATAAAATCAGATGAACCACCACGGTTTATCTGGTCCACTAGTTCAATATTTTAGCAAAACAAATATTAAAAAATTGACGTAAACTAAATTTTTATTAATTTTATCTCTGCTTCCTCTTCTAATTCTCCAACCTGGTTGTCGCTTTACGTTGTCTACTACCAATTGGCACCGTAATTTAATTTGAATTAAAAAATATGATTTCTTTTGTGAGACGGTTTGAATGATGTATTATATATTTTGGTGATGATATGAATTTGAAATTGTTCGCCATAAACTTTTCGAATCGTTTCACCGTTAGTCACCGGCCGTTACACTCCGTTAAAATTGTCCTATGTGGTAGTCAACTATAAAGTTTGACCGTTAAAATTAAAAAAATTAAATTTGTTTTTCCACATCATCATTCCACATACTTTATTTATATGATTTATCATATTAAATATTTAATAAAAATTAATTAACTTAAAAAAGTTAATTATTAGCAACATTGAGGAAGAGGATCATCCCGTCTGCGACTATGATCGACAATATTCACAAACCGGAACATGTCCCCTTTGAGAGGTACAAGGATCTCTTGGCGGAGCTTCGATCGGGAGCGCGCGACTCGACAAGCAGCGAAGGATTCGAAAGAAGAGGCAGTGGAGAAGAGCGTTGGATGGGAACCCGAAGAACCCAGCTGCAGCGTCGCGGGAGGGAACTTCGAGCTCCGATTTTCGGTGAAGAAGCTGGATGAGAGAGGAAGGAATTTGATGGCGATGACGAAAGCCACGACGGACGAATCGGGGAGTGGGGGATGAAGTGGATTCTGCCATTATTGAACAAAGTTGTGCTTAGCGCCGCCGTCTTGAAGCCATAGCCTTGACTGTAAAGGTTTCTATAACCGCAAGCTCCCCCTGAAAAGAATGTAAAGGGGAAAAATTGATCAACGGAATCCCAGAATTTGGGGATTTTTTAAACTTGGGTTTTGAAATTGAGATGGCAATTGAACCCCAGAATCAGGGATACTATTCAAATTGGTTACCCATTGTGCCAGAGGAATCGCCGCCTCCATAGAAATTGGCGCAAGCTTGAATCCAGTTTCTTGCAACACCCTGCCCCTTGCAAGCGGATTCCACCCCCGACAACCCCGCTCATCTCCGAGTTCTACCTATCCGCTTCACGCGACTGGCTCATAATCCGCTTCATCCCCCACTCCCCCCAATTCGTGTTTCGTGGCTTTCGTCAGCGTCATCGAACTCGTTCCCCTTTCATCAAGCTTCTTCGCCGACAATCGGAGCGCGGTGGTCCCTCCCGATGGAGTTGCTGCTGGGTTCTTCGGGTTCCCATCCAACGCTCTTCTCCACTGCCTCTTCTTTCGAATCCTCTGCTGCTCGTCGAGTCGCGCACTCCCGATCGAAGCTCTGCCAAGAGATCCATGTACCTCTCAAAGGGGACATGTTCCTGTTTGTGGATATTGCCGATCATAGTCGCAGACGGGATGATCCTCCTCCTCAACGTTGCTAATAATTAACTTTTTAAGTTAATTAATTTTTATTAAATAGTTAATATGATAAATCATATAGATAAAGTAAGTTGAATGATGAGCTGGAAAAACAAATTTAAATTTTTTAATTTCCATGTCATCTAGTTAACGGTCAAACTTTATAGTTGACTGCCACATAGGACAAATTTAACGGAGTGTAACGGGCGGTGACTAACGGTGAAACGATTCGTATAGTTAGTGGCGAATAAGAAAGAAAAATAATTCGGGTAGTAAACGTGAAAGATTTGTACAATTTGAGTGACCAAACGTATAATTTAGCTAGTGAAAATGATAAAAGGAAATGGACCAACTAGTGATGGTATCAAGAACAAGTGAAATGTTCACAGATCCGGCTACATGAAATGGGACAATGCCTTTATTTTGCTTGGGCGGTGGTTAGAATTAGGGCGTGATATGATTGAAAGTTTTGTGGGGGAGAAAATGAAATCCGAGAATTTTGGGTGTTTCCCATTCATCGTTTGGTTAAAATAGGTAGAAAATGGTACTACAAACTAGGGTTGGTAATCGGTTTAACGGTTATCATATTAAACGTTTACAGAACCGGTAACCGACGGTTAACGATAAAAATAATAATCGACGGTACTGGTATACGGTAGCCAATTTTAGGCAAATGGTATACTGTTCCATTCACGGTATAATACCATCGGTATACCGGGTTAGCGAAATCCACGCAGCCCTAAATATTATTTCGTTCTCTTCTTCTCGTGCCTCACGTCGCGCGATGTCTATCTCTTCATATTCAATTCTCTCCGCCTCTTCTCATCAATCCACCACACTAGTCCAACAGTCCTTCCACCACGAACCAGTCACCAGTCACCACCAAATTAGTGTGCCGCCGTTGGCTGCTTGTCGAAGGCGATTGCAACCAGTCTTCAAACTTCACTGCCGGTTGATTCCTCCCCCATCCTCTAGCTCTCTGTTGTCATTGTCTGATTTGCCTCATTCTGCATGCGATTAGGAACACGGCGGCGACATGTAGTAGTGGCGGGAGCGCAGACTGATGTCGAAGCTAGAGATCAGGTAGACGATGATGGCGATGACTGTGATGCGAGATATCTCTCCCCGATTGACTACGATTTACCTCCCCGATTTATCTCTCTGAAGACGACAGTGACGGAAATGCCAAATCTATCTCCTTCACTAGATTTATCTCCCCAAAAAATCTAATCTCTTTCATATCTTCAAGAACTCCGACATCCACTTCAGCCCAAAAAATCCCCCGCACCCCCAAATCCACCATGCAAATCTTTCAAAGAGGTTGAGGTCATGGTTGCAGGCCCAGAGATTGAGGGCTTGAGGAAGGTGTATCGTGATGGAAGTCGAAGAGGTCGGAGGATTGGAAGTCGAAGAGGTCTTTGGTAGCGGAGGGGGCGCAATCCATATACCAAAATTACTTTGCGATAAATCGGGATACCGACGGAAAAATCGATATTGTTCCAATCGGTAATCGGTTTACCAAAATCTACAGATAATATAATACACCGAAGGGAAAAATGGGAGCTCCATTTCAAATTTTCTGCAACGAGAGTGAAAGTAGGAAGGACATTTTGGTCTATTACTTTTTTTTATTCATTAAAAAGACACGTACTAAGATTTGAACCATGACCATTTTAAAGAAAAGCAAGGATCATAACCAATCACACTAAGTACATTTGTTGTATCTTTTTAAATTTAAAACATATAATAGCAGGGAGGAAAAAACCCTTCCCCCATTTGAAATTCCCTGCTCCAGGAGCTTTTGTAGGAAGGGTAGAATATGAAGTGTCAATTTTTTTCTCTTTTCTCTGTGGAACGGGCCAACTTACCATACACATGCAGATTTAAACGGGTCCAGGAGTGTCAATTTTTTTCTTTAAGCCCTTTTATTTCTTCGTGGTGATAAAATATATATGAAAAGGCAAAAACAATACTCCTTTTTATTGATAAAAATAAAAAAAAATTAACAATAAACTAATTGCATGGTATCTAATGGGCTAACCGCTAACCATAAAATAAAAGAGTTGAATGGCCATGACCTACACGAGATTTGGCCATCAAGTAAAACAAATGAACATCATTGGTTTGTCATTCTAAAACAAGCTATTTTCTCTGTCATAATATATATTATGCTATTATTTTATATCTTAGAGACTAAAATATAATGTATTTTAAAGTTATTCAATGGTTCAACCTCGACCAACCCAATTAGTCCAATTTTTATAATTTCAAATATATATTATATAATTATTTGATATCATAATGATCAAATTATAGTGTATTTTATAGGGAATTGTTCGGTATTTGTTAGTAAAAAACTAAACAGAAAGATCTATTTGGTTATTTTTAACATTAAAAAGATCCTAAACATTTTCAGTTTCCTTTCGAAATTCTATAGTTTTATTCCCGAATCAGTGATGTGCAAATGGTGAATTGCAGTCATCTCTATTCTTTCATTATTTTTTATTTTCAAATAGAAAGTTTAAAAGTAAAGAATAATTAGAGTTTTGCATGGGTCGGTCAAACAGGCTGAATTTCAAGTTTTGGCCCGTTTTGATCAATTCTAATTTATAATCACATGGTTCCCTGATACCCGATAAAAATCTCAATCCAAACCAGTTTGGCAGGTGAGTCTGTGTTTACCACCATTTTTTAGGGATACGACAACGGCGGTTCCTATCCCAAATCGTGTTGTTCGTTCTTGATTTCCTAAGATTTTATCATGGCCTAACAAAAATCAGAAAGCACAATGACGACAAGATGAAAGTTTTATAAAACAAATTAATCGACCAACAGGCCGAGTAAAAGCTAGCAACGATTGTGAGATGCTCATTTCCCGAAAACCGACGGGATAAGCGATTTTTTATTCAATTTTCTGGAATTCGGTTTCTATAAAACTTACTCCACCTCATCATATTACCAGAAACAATATTGTTTCACAAGGTAACATGTACTTTTTTTTGGGTGAATTCAGGACGCTAAGGGCGTCCTAACCTTTATTGCGTATTAATAAGACGCGGTGTACGAATCCCCGAAATGTCAAAAAACAACCAGTATCTCAAAGTGCTGTTCGGGACTTGGATCCCGTGGACCCCAATGGGTAACGAATGACCAACAGAAGCAAGGTGATCAGCCACTTAGTTTGCTTCCCTGTAGACGTGTTCGATCCTAACCTGCCACCCCTGATGAAGCCATTGGCGGATCTCAGCCACCAAGGTGAAGTGTGGATGCTGTGGAGTAGCCTTCTCGATCAGGCTAATCGCAGTGCACGAGTCGGTCTGTAGAACAACTTTCCTGATCCCCTCCTCCCAAGCCAGCCTCAACCCATAAGCAAGCCCAGTCAGCTCCGCACGAGTAATCGAACCTCCTCCCAAGTTCGCTGTGAATGCTCGGATAAATCGTCCATCGTCCCCTCTCACGATGCCGCCACATGTCGTGCTCGCAAGAGAATGAGTGACTGAGCCATCAGTATTGATGCAGGCCCAGCCACTCGGCGGTGGGTGCCACTGAATATCCCGCCATTCTCGGAGTCCCCCGGCTCCAAATATGGTGTTCTCCTGTGCGAGTGCTAGACTGATCTGCTGTCTAAGCTGTTTGGACCTAAACTGAACTTCCTCATGAGTTTTCAACTGGCCTTGGAAGAGGTGGTCATTCCTGTTCTTCCACAGAAGCCAACAGGTGCCTGCAAACAGAGAATTATCCACATTGTTACTACGCCCTGATAAATAGTGCATGGACCATCGATGAATGTCCGGTTCAAGGAAGGTGGTGCTTGGTTCGTCCTCAAGAAGGCCCGCCCAGGTGGCCCTCGCGTATGGACAGTCGCGAACGACGTGGATGGTGGTCTCGGGACCCCCGCCGCAAATCTTGCAACTCGTGTTCGTCGTCAGGTGTCTTCGCCCTCTTTCCGCATTCGTCAATAAACGATCATGGTTAAGCAGCCAGAGAAAGGTCCGGATCCGCTGCAACGTCGGGGTCTTCCAAATGGTTCGCCAGATTGGTTGGTTCTGAATCGGGCTCTCCCTTCTGTCCGTGAGCTCGTAGGCTGTCCGAAAAGAGAAAACTCTGTTCTGAGACAGTCTCCAGACTCGAACATCGGGCTCCTCCTCCTGCGGCACCGGGTGTAGGAGTACATCCAAAACAACTTCTTCAGGTAAGTAGGCACGTAAAAAGTCAGCGTTCCACTCACCATTTAACACAAACTCTGCAACTTTCATCTCCGCCATCCCGTCGGGGAGGTTGGGGGCGCAGTCTCTGAGCACTGTTGTGTCATCGAGCCACCTGTCACTCCAAAAGCTAGCCACCTGTCCATTTCTTATGTTCCACGCCGAGGCTTCCTCAGTCAGGTGTCGGACTCGCAAAACGCCTCGCCAGAGATTCGACAACCGGCCAGTTGTTTTCAGGTGCAGCCCGCTCTCAGTCTGGCGGCAAGACTTCGCCATGATGACCCGCGCCCACAAGTCATTCGGTTTAGTCAAGAGTCTCCAGAGGATTTTAAGCATGAAAACCTCGTTAGTCCGCGTCGCACCTCTAAGACCCAGGCCACCCTCCTCCTTGGTCCTGCAGATTGTATCCCAGTCTACCAAGTGGACTTTTCGACCCTGATCCAAGCTTCCCCAGACGAAAGCACGAATTTTCTTATCGATATAGTTCCTGACACTTGCCGGCAGAAATGTCGTTTGCATTGTGTAAGAAGGAAGCGCCATGAGGACCGATTGAGCCAGCGTGATCCGCGCTGCCATCGACAGAGACGCAGCTGACCACCCCACCAAGCGAGCATCGATTCGGTCGATCAGCTCTTTGAATGTTGATTTAGAAACTCGATCGTGAATCACTGGAACGCCCAGGTAACGGCCTAGATTTGGCATTTCCGGGATCCCCAGGTCTTCACTCAGGCTACGACGAATGCTAGCAGTAACATTGGCCGAAAAGAAAACTCTGGATTTGGGTCTGCTGACTTGCTGGCCTGAGGAAGCCCCGAATATGTCAAAGCACCTTTTGATCTCCTGGACCTGGTCGCCATTGGCTTCGCTGAACAAGATAAGGTCATCTGCAAAAAAGAGGTGTGACAAGCGAGGCCCAATACTGGTCAGTTTTATAGGCTGCCACCGCCCCGCTTGCACAGAATCATCAATAAGGTGACCAAGACGTTCCATACAAAGCGTGAAGAGGTACGGAGATAGAGGGCATCCCTGTCGCAACCCTCTAGACGGTTGGAACGCCTCGGTCGGTCCCCCATTCCACTGAATATGCATCTGCGATGAGGAAATGCATGCCATAGTCAGGTTCACGAAGTCAGCAGGGGCCCCAGCAGCCACCAGCGTGTCCCGGACGAACCCCCATCTTATTCTGTCATAGGCTTTGGCAAAATCAACTTTTAGAACCATCCATCCGCGTCGCCCCTTACGAGCCCTCATGGAGTGAACCACTTCTTGCAAAATGCAGATGTTATCAGTGATATGCCTGCCTGGAACGAAGCTAGTTTGCGTCTCGTGAACCAAGTCCGGCATCAGCGGTTTCAACCTATCCGCCAGGCACTTCGTCAGTGCTTTATAAGCCACGTTACAGAGGCTGATCGGCCGAAATTGGTCAATAGTAACCGGCTGTTGAGTCTTAGGGATAAGAACTAGCACAGTAGCATTAATTTCTTTGACCTTCTCTGGATTGGCCCAACAATTCTGAACTAGCTGAACCAGTGACTCTCCCACCGTATCCCAACATCTTTGGAAGAATAGTGGGTTGAGCCCATCCTTTCCCGGCGACTTCAAGGCCCCCATCGCTTGAACAGCCCGTCGAATTTCATCTGGGTCGAGGACGGAGGCCAAGGCCACCCACCGAGTATCGATAATGTATGGGAACTGGGACTCCAGGGGAGGAAGCTCCCCGCCTTCATCTGTGTAAAGCTCATGGAAGTAGCTTCTGGCCATCTCTAGTAGGGTGCCAGGGTCATCCACCCATTCTCCTGCACTATTTTTGAGCATGCTAACTCGGTTTCGCTTCCTCCGTTTGATGGTCCTAGCGTGGAAGTAGGCAGTGTTCATGTCCCCCGACTTGATCCACTCCATCCGCGACTTCTGGTACCATAATAATTCCTCTTGGAAAAGGATGAGCTCGAGCTCCTCTTGAATTTGGTTGATCTGGTTCGCATTTCTGGAGTCACTAGGAGCAAGTTCCAACTGTTCTAGACGCCGAAGAAGCTTGTCCTTCTTCCTCAGAATGTGGCCAAACACAGTGCGATTCCATTCGGCCGCATCCCTAGCAAAGGCAGCCGCCGATTCTGTGAAGCAAGATCCCTTTGCCCAAGCATTCTCCATCATGGCCATGAAGCCCTCATGGGTGAGCCAGGCTGCGAGGACACGGAACGGTTTCTCCCCCCTGGCTGAACCTGGGTCGTTGGCGTAGTAAGGATGGGGCGGTGGTCCGACTTTTTCAGGCGGGGGAGGTGCCTAACCGTAGTCTCGGGGAACGTCGACAGCCACTGGGAGTTGGCGATAGCCCTATCAAGTCATTCTCTGAGCCCTGTCCGAAACCAGGTGAAGTGCGGCCCAGTGTACCCCAAATCGTGCAGACCTATGTCATTCACAGCATCTTGGAACTCCCTGATCCTGGAGGATTCAAAATTTGCACCTCCTAGTTTCTCCGAGGGGCTGAGGATCGAATTAAAATCTCCCGCTAGCAACCAAGGAACGTCCAGGTCTTCCGCTACATTCCTTAGGAAACTCCAGAGTTCTCGCCGTTGGACTGGGGCCGGGTTCCCATACACTGCCGAAAGCTGCCATTCGATTCTCTGAGACGTTATAGATTGCACCTGCACATGAAGGCACTGGGGGTGAGCATGGATTTCAGAAATGGTGTGCCCACTCGCATTCCACGCAATCCAAATACCTCCCGAAAAACCTATCGCATCAACTACAATCTTGCTATCATAACCCATGTTACGAATAATCTCATTAACTCGAGTCCCACTAATACAAGGCTCGACTATAATCACAATATTCGGACGAAATTTCCTACGGTATTCATGGAAAGCACGTAAGAAACCTCTACTCCCTGCCCCTCTACAATTCCAAGAAAAGATTTTACAATCCATAAATAAGAGGTGGAAAGAGACTCCCTTTGATCAAGTCGCCGATAGGTTGTCCCCATCGGTATTCATCGCCACCTTGGCATTCGTCTCATCACGTTTCGCATGCTGCATCTTGGCTATTGGATTTTTTTGCGTCGAGTCTGGAGGTTTTTCCTTAATCTCTTTCTCCACTACATGTGCAACATTGGGAGCTTGAATATCAGCCTTGCTCGATTGCATCTGCCTTACTTCATTTGCAGGCCCACCCGCAACGTGGGACTCAACCCCAGTCTCAGATATCGTAGCACTCGACAAATTTTGGGTCTGCATTGGTCTAGAGTTCTGGATTTCATCCGGGGCCTGCGAGGAAGTGTGAGTTGGCGTCCCCCTTTCTGCTGTAGGCAAAGTCGGGCTTGACCCCGTACCTTTTTTCCCCTTGGAGCTCCCAGAATTTCCGCTGTGGACCTTCTCTTTATATATGTTCACATTGGCGGCTGCCTCCGTTACCTGACTTGGTCGAGGACTCGTCTCCCTGTCCCCTTCCTCCTGTAGTACGTCGAACCGGGAACCGCTTGCATGGGATGCTCGGGTTTTGTGCCCATGATGGACATTGGTATCCCCCTTCTCAGTCTGCGTTGATGGATCTTTGCGAGGTGGTCTTGGCTTGCGTTTTGAAATCATCCATTCCCCATAAAGAGAATCTGTTGGCCTTGTCTCTTTCACCGTTTCCTCAGCTGTTTTCTCCTCCTCCATCGGCGCATGTGTCTTCGTGCATGGGCAGTAGCCATGTTCGGAATATGTGCCACAGTTTAGACAGATTCTTTCCAAGCCTTCATATTGAATGAAATACTTCTTACCATGAATTGTGAACTGTGGGAGGAGAGGTTGAGTAAGATCGACCTGGACACAAACACGGGCATAGTCGCTGCGTGCCTTGGTCCGGGTTGCACCATCGATGCGAATAGGTTTCCCCATTCTGCGCCCTATCTTCATCACCGCATCATGGTGGAAGAAGTGGATAGGAAGATCCAGTAGGCGTGCCCAGACCACCGTAGATGATATTTCATGGCCGTAGGGGTCAAAGTACCTGTCCCACATATGCACTGTGAGGTAATTCGAGCCGATCATCCATGGTCCTCCCGTGATCGCACGTTCATAATCCATTCCGTTCGTGAATCGGATTAGAAAATATCCATTCTTTATTGAGGTAACCTGGATGCCTCCCGCTTTTGCCCATATTGTGTTCAGTCTGATCGACATGGCAGTGTAGGAGACTGCTCGCCCTAAAGCCTTCACCACCAAAGCCGATCTGAGATCCCGGCAGAAGGTCCTTCCCTCGGCAGCAGAAAAAGGATTGGAGGACACTTGGGATCCTCATCCGCTTCAAACGGAGCCTCCTGCCCTTCTTCCCTAATAGCAGCCGCTACATCTTCCGAGTCCGAATTGGCTATGTACCATTCGTCCAGGCGTTTTGTCTCGCCGAACAGCTTCCTAGCCGCTCCCATGGACTGAGTCCATGCTGCTGGTCGAGCTGGGGGGGGGGGGGGGTAGGGCTGAGTTCAGCCTCCGCGTCAGAGAGCACTTCGTCCCTGATCTCTTCAACAATAGGCGACGAGTAAGTTTGTTTCGCTTTCTTCTTAGCATGCTGCGCCTCCCGGTCACCTTTAGGGTTCGGGGATGACGACTCTGTGGGAGGGCGTCTTTGGCCCGCACTGGTATCGGTTTGGTGCGACGTCCCCGATCCTCCACCCGCCGGCGGCGGGGGTTCCGCCGACATGGGGTTACAAAACCCTAGCTGCCAAAAGAGATCTAGCAAAAGAGTTCGGTAACAACCACTCTCAGTTACGAGAATTCCTCAGAACCTAATTTTTCTTATCCCTTTAACATGTACTTGATTTTGGTTCATAAGGCCAATTTTTTATTCATTGCATCATTCATGTCTCTTTCCTGCTAAAATTCACTATTTTTATCACGAGTTTCCCAAAAAACTATACAACAATAAGCTATACTCCCCATTACATTATCAAATTTCATACCTCACCTTCCTCCGACCAACTGGCCGGGGCCCACGCTAGTAACTCAGTATCGGCAAACGACAATGATAATGAGATTTCCAGTATACCGGTAACCGGTCAAATGATAACCGGTTACCGATCGATTACCACCCCTACTACAAACTAGACAAGGTGTGTGACCTTGCATATGGAGAACAACTACAAAGATAAAAACATAATTGGACTAACATCTAAACCTAGACGTTGATAATAAAACTAAACTTGAGGATTGATAACTTCATCTAAACGTCATCAATCCAATTAGCTTTTTCTTGACTTTCGTGGTCGCAAGTTCGAGTCTTGATGATGACTTTCAATATCTCTACAGTAAAAAATTGTCAAAAAATTACATCGATAAACTGCCATATGGAAGACACATTACCTACTTTACCTTCTATGAGCTATTTTGGCTTCATGGAACCATTGCTTTTAGGCAATCAAAAATAGAAATGATCCAAATTACTCGTTTTCCAATGAAAATTAAAAATGAGATATTTGGTTTTAACAAAAAATTCGAACGATTCATTTTTCTTGGAAAAAGAGATACGAACGGAGAGAAATAACCAATCAATGAAAGAACATGAAACCATTGTCGTTAATTTTCTATTTTAACCTTCCTCTTTTTTAAGAAATGCAAAACCAACTCTTTTTATTTTGTGTCCATAAATTCTTACTTACTTTACAATTCTTTTTCAATAAAAGCTTTCAATTTTTTTTTGGTAAAATAATATTTACTATTTTGGAGATGAGTATCAAATATAGGTTATGTTTGGTTGTGAAATGATATACTTCGGAACCATTCCAACTTGTAAATAAAGTTGACATAAAATTATTGTTAAAAGATAAAAAATTAGAATTATATATAGCTAGTAACTAAATAATATGTTACATGTTGGTTGCAAAATGATTTTTTTTTTTCGTATTTGTTTTTATTATGATAACAAACAAGAAAATGAAACATATTACATGAAAAGTCAAAATGATAACATTATACGAATAACTCACATAAAACATTTTAACAAAATCACAGTCGAAAATGTCTACATTGTCTATTTTGTCAAATGTCTATATTTGACAAAATGAATCATTTTGTAAATACACAAAGCAAATGGTCCCTTAGTAGATTGTTTGGACGAGGCAATTTGGTGACACAAAATGGGGATACAAAACTATCTTACTTTTGATTGGTTTTGGCACGAAGCAAGTATTGTGAAGAGGCAATTGAGTAAAATTGTGTCAACTCTTCGTTTGGATTGAGTATTTGGGGTCAAATAACACAAAATGTGTTATTTGACCCCAAATAACATGTTTGCCTCACAAAAAATGGAATGTGTTATTTGGATGTGGTGTTTTGCGAAATAACATGTTTGAGACCAAATAATACAAAAAGTGTTGTTAGCCAAATACTTGGGAGAGGCAGGTATTTGCCAAATAACAAGTTTAAGACCAAATATCACATACCAAATAACAAGTTTTATATTAAGTGGTATTCGTATGGTAATTGGCTCCAAACAATAAATTTGTCAAATACTCAATCCAAACTATCCTTACTTTTTTCTAGAATGGATTTTCTATCATGACTCGTGTTATGTTGGTGATCCTAGTCCTTTAATTCGGGTTCAATGAAACAAATACTTTCTCATTACAAGGATGATAATTGCCATATCGTATGAACCTACTCTACGGGTAAATATTATCATTTTCATATCATTAGGTTAATTTATTAGAATTGATTAAGTTTTTCAACTTGTAGAGCATAATTTGTAAAGTAGGGATGAGTATTGTGCCGAAACCAGGTTGTCAACTCGGTTTAGTCCATTGTCCCGATCGAGTAATTGAGTTAGAGAATAATAGTTTGAACGCTTTAATCCGGTTTAGTTTAGATATATGAAAACTCATTATATTGTGCATGCATTAAAAAATTATATAAAATCTCATCTAACGTATGTGTAACATCCCGAACCTTTTCCCGACAAGATATTGTCCGCTTTGGGCCTCGACGCCCGCACGGATTTCGACTTGAGGTGCAATTCAAGGTGACTTCCCATAAGGTCACCCATCCTTGTTGTACTCCAAACTGAGCACGTTTAACTTCAGAGTTCTCACAAGAACTCTTCCATTACACCCCATAACGCGTATTGTCAGTTAAGGCCGGTTTCCTACTTATGAGCCATGGATCTCTCCTGTGCTTTGTCGATGTGAGATTTGCCTAAGGTGTTACAGTATGAATAATAACATATAGCATTACACCAAAATAACAGTTCGCACTATGATCCAACATGTAGTGAAAATTCAAACACACTAATAAAATATCAATATTTAAATGTTTAACTTAGAATCCAAAAAATAGTGTTAGGTGATAGGAAAATTGAAAAATAGACACATTTACAAATGAAAAAAAATAATAATATCGTGCGACCTCCAACCCAAAAACTTTGTTATGGATCGACCTGCAAGTGTGTGGCGCATGTTTTCTTCATCAGGTCCAGATCTTGGGCGAAGGTATCTGAATTGAGAACTTTGAGGACTTCAAAATGTATGTATGAAATGTGAAATTTGACAAATTTTAATCCACAGATTCTCATTGCTTAAAATGAATCCCCCAAATTATAGAGGAGCATCAAATACAACCACAATCCTCCTCAAACAAATTCCTTTGTCTCCCTCTTTTCCCCTCCATGTTAGAATTCAAAATCAATAGTTGTAGTTATAGTACGATTGTACCAAAGGTATACATTACCAGCCAAGAAAATTCTTTCCAATAATGAAGAGCATCAAATGCTTAATCGATTGTAAGCATGTTATGGTGACTTTTCACTAAGGAAATTATGAACATATACACAAAACGAAAATGTCTGATGATGGCAAGTTTGGTCCGATTAACATGATCTTATTTTATCCGAACTATTTTGAGAGGGTATTATTTGTTTTGCAAATAGTACGTAGCGGAACATGAGTCTTATCTTTGTATGTCATGTGCTATTATAACCTTCGTTCTACTTCGTTTCTCTTCAATATTGGAAAGTTTCGAATATATTTATTGCATTTTAACTATTTAACTATTGTTTACCACTAAAAAATCACTAAATAGCACATTGATTATTTTCAAAGAGTGATAGTGATTAATAAGGCCAACTTAACCATGTTAATTAAATTGGTTTAGGTTGGGCCTAAATAATGGTATTTTGGGCTTCATACCAGGTACCTCAATACACACCACTTGACCCACCAAACACGTTGACACCCTTCAACATCAACCACCCAAGTCGTGAAGACCCAACCACAAGGGGGATCATCGGGAGTACCCTTCTGTGTTGAGACACACAGCACAAGGGGAGTCAAGCATGATGTAATGCAAAGGGGTCATCGCGCTTGACATGATGGAAAGAAGGCAAAATTTGGCTAAGTGTTGAGACCCATAGCACAAGGGGGTTCAAGCATGACATAATCCCAGGGGGGTCAAGTACTATGCCATCTACCTACCTTGCACCAGGAGGGTCATGCATGACATCGTCCAGGGGGGTCAAGCATGATGCCATCCAAGGTGAGTCGAGTATGACGAGACGCAAGAGGGTCTAGCCGCCTACTGGGTATCAAACATGTTGGCAAGTGAAGAAGGGCAACGCGAGTCCCTAGACGTGGTGGCGAAGAAAGCCAAAATTTGGCTAAGTGTTGAGACCCACAACACAAGGGGGGTCAAACATGACATCATCCCAGGGGGGTCAAGCATGATGGCACAAGGGGGGTCAAGCAGTATGCCATTTACCTACTGTTTGAACCTACTAGCTCGAGGTACGAACAATAATGATTGTTGGTGTGGGGTTGACTCATGATCCGTTCGTCTGATCTCGTCGGGAGGGAAGAAACCTGTGAAAAGTGCCGGGGTTGCCCCCCGGATTAAGCTCCGACGATCAAGTTAGTATATGTTTGTGGAGTGAGTTGAGAGAATAGATAGAGAGATAAAGTGTAGAGAGATAGTAGAAAGTGGAAAGTGAGGAGAGAGGAGAAGTCCCCTTCAATGGGGAGTTTCATGCCTTTAAATACTTCGTAGTGATGTTCGTCCGGAGCACGTTACCGATTGAGCACCCCTTATTTAGTCCGCGCGTGGAGTATTTAGTAACACCCCCAACAATTGCCCCCCAAGCTGGTGGTGAGTCTTAACTCATCGCTAGCTTATTACTTTTTTTTTCTAAAAAATCTTCGTCGGTAATTTTGGGTGGAGCCCTATGTACCCCAGTTGCCCCCCAGCTGGTGGCTCGTTTGGCTGACGCGGTGCCAGCTTTCTGCGTCATGCCCCCCAGTTGGTGTATTTCATTAAGGCGTGTAGCCCTCACTCATTGTAGATTCTTCATGGAGCTCTCCTCGTCGTTTTTTTTAACCCTCAGTTTGGAGTTCTCCTCGTCGGGGTTTCTAACCCTCAGTTTGGAGTCTTCGATGCTCTTATTGAAGTCTTATTTGTGTGCTTCGTTGAGACTTATTTGTGGCTCCTCGTCGGGGTTTTTAACCCTCAGTTTGGAGCCCTCCTCGTCGGGGTTTTTAACCCTCAGTTTGGAGTCTTCGATGCTCTTATTGAAGTCTTATTTGTGTGCTTCGTTGAGACTTATTTGTGGCTCCTCGTCGGGGTTTTTAACCCTCAGTTTGGAGCCCTCCTCGTCGGGGTTTTTAACCCTCAGTTTGGAGTCTTCGATGCTCTTATTGAAGTCTTATTTGTGTGCTTCGTTGAGACTTATTTGTGGCTCCTCGTCCGGGTTTTTAACCCTCAGTTTGGAGCCCTCCTCGTCGGGGTTTTTAACCCTCAGTTTGGAGTCTTCAAGGCGTCAAGAACTTGGTGAGTTTCTCATCTCTCACGTTGTTGGGTAGGTCTTGCCCCCCATTAGCACCATAAACGCTCAAGAAAGCAAAGCATTTCAATATTTAATCATGATAGAGGGATAGAGTACTTAGCTTTAAGGTGATGAGCTCGACGCAAATAGTTGTGTACAGGCACCGCGCAGCAGTAGCATCATGTTGTCTTGTAGCCTAACGGTTGAAGCGGATTCTAGTGAATTGGTGGACCCTGGTTCGAGTGCTGGCGGTGGTAACAATTTTTTTGGCAGCAATCCGCCTTTGTGGGCGTGCTTGGATGGGCTAGATACGCTAGTTGAGACATGTTGGGCTTGGCGGAACTGGAGCGGGCTACGAGTTGTAGTTGGGCGCGATCTCGTGACGCTGGACGGATCGGGGCAACTTCGATGGCGGGCCGCGAGCTGAGAGAGAAAATGGGCCGGATGACATCAAGTGGGGCGAGAGCCGCGAGTTGGCCCGGGCTGGTGAGATGCTGGCGCGTGGGGCGGCGCGAGCCCATGTAGTGGCGCAGGTCGGATGACATCAAGCGGGGCGAGAGCCGCGAGTTGGCCCGGGCTGGTGAGATGCTCGCGCGTGGGGCGGCGCGAGCCCATGTAGTGGCGCAGGCCGTGCACGCGAGTTCGGACCTCCGCTTGGGCCTAGTTGTGCGGGCCGTGAGATGGAGGTGGCCCATGAGACGCGGTTTGGGTTGGGAGCCCATTGATGAACAGAACGCGCGGAACTAGAAGTGCGATTTGTTCCATTTTTTTTTCTTTTTCTTTTTCTCTTCTTCTTCTTCTTCTTCTTCGCGTTCATTCTCCCTCCCGCCCGCAAATTATCGCCGCGCGGAGCTTCTTTGGGCGGAGGTGAGCGCGGTGCTTCGGACGGCAAGCGCGGCAGCGCTTCGAACGGTGCTCCGCGACGAGTGGCTCCTTTCTTTTCTCCGCGAGCACGGGTATTGGTGGAGCAGGGCTCGCGGCAGAATCACTCTTGGCGATCGGTGGGGAGTTGTGCGGCGGAGGGGTCCGGGGCGGTCCGGCGAGGTTGTAGTAGTCGAGGGTAAAATGGAGAAAATTGATTACCATGGGACCTCGGCTTCAACATCTGGGTGGCTGAAGATCTTGGCAGCAACGGCCCTCTTGTTTGTTGGGATTGGCTCGCCGGCTGGGGTATAGGTATCGCACATGACCAGGATGTTGTTTCCCTTTCTGAAGGGATCCTTGAAGATCGCTTGTGGATAGAGGATGACTTCGCTGTCATCGTCGGGAGCTTGGTTGGTGGAGCTGGCGTCGTAGTTCCATTTTGGTAGCTCAGACGGTTTGGTCACTGGCTTGGGCAGAGCCCTGGCTTTGCTCCTCAGGTCCATACCAGATCCACCAACCCAGATGTACTCGGCGATGATCTTCTCGGTGGTGTCGGAGAGATTGAGGTTAACGAGATCGTTGAGGGAAGCCATGGCTGACCGGAGAACTGGAGGGAGACCGGAGAGTGAGAGAAGACGAAGTAAAGGAAGAGAAGAAGAAGAAGAGTTGGAGATGAGAGGAAAAAGATCAAAGAGCAGGAGGTGCTGAGAATCGCAGACGGGATCAATTTCTTCCTCCCTTCGCGTTGCTTGCTTTGCTTTTTTTTTTTGAATGCTTCCACCATTCTCTCCTTTTCACAGATCTTCTCCTTTAGAAACCAGATGAATAGAATACGTGAATCAGCCCCACGGTGGGCGCCAATTGTTTGAACCTACTAGCTCGAGGTACGAACAATAATGATTGTTGGTGTGGGGTTGACTCATGATCCGTTCGTCTGATCTCGTCGGGAGGGAAGAAACCTGTGAAAAGTGCCGGGGTTGCCCCCCGGATTAAGCTCCGACGATCAAGTTAGTATCTGTTTGTGGAGTGAGTTGAGAGAATAGATAGAGAGATAAAGTGTAGAGAGATAGTAGAAAGTGGAAAGTGAGGAGAGAGGAGAAGTCCCCTTCAATGGGGAGTTTCATGCCTTTAAATACTTCGTAGTGGTGTTCGTCCGGAGCACGTTACCGATTGAGCGCCCCTTATTTAGTCCGCGCGTGGAGTATTTAGTAACACCCCCAACACCTACCTTGCACCAGGGGGGTCATGCACGACATCGTCCAAGGGGGTCAAGCATGATACCATCCAAGGTGAGTCGAGTATGACGAGACGCAAGGGGGTCTAGCCGCCTACCGGGTATCGAGCGTGTTGGCAGGGGAGTCCCTAGACCATGGTGGTAAAGAAAGCCAAAATTTGTCTAAGTATGGAGACCCAACTACAAGGGGGACAAGCATGACATCATGCAAGGGGGGTCATGCATGACATCGTCCAAGGGGGTCAAGCACCAAGTACCGCAGCCACCTACCTTGCACTAGGGTGTCAAGCATGATGCCGAGGCAAAATTTGGCTAAGTATAGAGATCCAACCACAGGGGGGGTCAAACATGACACCGTCCAAGGGGGTCAAGCACCAATACCAAACACTAGGGTGTCAGCCATGTATATCATCACATGGTAGACCACCTTGCCAAGACCCTGCAAGCATGATGTCACCCCAAGGGGGTCAGTGTGCATCCATCAAACCCCCAATCACCCTGGTGTCGAGCATAACGTCATGTCAAGGGGGTTAGCACGAGTACCACCAAGCATGAAGCCTTCACTCACCAAACAAGACACCTCCATGGCACAAGGGGTCATCAAGTGGCAAGCACGCAAGAAAGTCAAGGCGTCAAGCAAGCTACATCAAGCACCAAGCAGTGGAGCAACGGTTACCAAGAGGCGGTTGCACGACGGTTACAAAGGATGACTATAAATAGGAGAAACGAAAACGAAGCAAGGGTTCCACAACCAAACATTAGACGCACAATGTCAAAATTTATCTTTTCTCTACAAATCAGCTTTTAGTCTTTCGGAGCTCTCACTGAACCTCCATAGGAGTAGAGTAACTTAGATTGTTCTAAAAAAACCATCAAAAACATCAAACACCCTCGTTCGAACATTGTTCGCAGAGGAGTGAACCGTGTTTAGAATCGTTGTTCAAGAGGTCAAAGGTGCATTTATTGAGTTCAAACACCAGTTTTTCCTCGTCGGAACCTCCTCACAAGCTAACCTCAACTCGCATTGATAGATGGCTAACTTCTCCAACAAGGCCGTCACTTCGGCCTTGCCCACTATCTCGTCTCGAAGTGGTGTCTGCTTGTACTACCTCCACCCTTCCTTCTTTATTCCAAAACATCAAACACTGATGAAGTGAGGATGGGACACACTTGTTGGCATGGATCCAATCCCTTCCCAACAAGGCATTGTAGCTTATCGCCCCATCCACCACAAAGAAGGCAGCCATTTTCTCTTGATTACCAACTCCAATTAAGACTGGTAGTATCCCTCTTGCTGATGTTGACCCCCCATTGAAGCTAGTAACGAAGATATTAGTGGGAATCAAATCGCTTGTAGTCTTCCGAGTTTTCTTAACAACCTAGTGGGCATCACATGGACAGCAGCTCCATTGTCAACAAGGATTCTTGACATCGGCATACCATCCAACCTAGCCTTGATATAGAGGGGCCTCAAATGCCTTAGCATACTTGGCTCTGGTTCCTTGAAAACCACTAAGTGACTTAACTCATCACTTGTGTTTTCCTCCTTCATGACCTCTTTCCCTTTCAAGGTGGCTACTTGCAAGACTTCCTCTTCTCTTGGCGAACTTTCTTCCTCTGCTGCCGCACCTTCAACCTCACCATCAAAATCCCAACCCTAAGAAGGGTTCTGGATGGGTGAGGACGATGAAGCTTCAGGACCCTGGTATAGCACATAAAAAAGATATCTCCCATCATCTTCACCAAGAAAACCAACACTCTTATGGCCTGCCTCATGGAGTTCCTTCAGGAGTTGCTGGGAACTCTTGCCTTGTCTTGCCACCTCAGCAGCCAGATCAATCCTACTTCCCAAACGAGCCATCCTAACACCCCATGGCTCATCACTTGCTTCCAATCGAGCAAATGCCTCGGTTAACTCAGCAACGAACCCGTCTGTATCTTCAGCCTCTTCTATTATCTCTTCTTCCTCTACATACCTATCCCGGTCTTCCTCATTGAATTGGAAACCATAGGTAGTATATATGTAGTTTATGACCACAACTGGCGGCAAACTTCCAAAGTGGATTGTCAAAGGGGGTCCTTGGTCATCCCCTTCGTCATCCTTGTTGCCTCTATCAAATTTGGGATTGGGATGCTCATCTTCTAGCATGTCATCTTCAACATACTCATCTTCATATTCACCTCCTTCTTGGAAGTCATCCTCAACCCCTTCACGAACTTTGACATCACCCTGTACTTGGACCTGCTTCCCTTTGTCAGTCATTGTCACCTTGAGCCCGGTAGTCACTGAGTTGTCCACCTCTATATTTGGTGGAACAACATCATTGTGTTGTGATGGTCTGATCCTCGCACCGGAAACCGCTTCAGCTAACTGGCCATGTTCAATGTTGGCCACTTGCTCCTCCACAAACCCTGGCGGAGCATCACTTTCCTGATTCTTTCTCCTAGGAGCCATCGAATCAAACACACATAGTCCCACCAGGTGTGCCAATTTGTTTTCCGACGAGGAAAAACTGGTGTTTGAACTCAATAAATGCACCTTTGACCTCTTGAACAACGATTCTAAACATGGTTCACTCCTCTCCGAACAATGTTCGAAAGAGGGTGTTTGATGTTTTTGATGGTTTTTTTAGAACAATCTAAGTTACTCTACTCCTATGGAGGTTCAGTGAGAGCTCCGAAAGACTAAAAGCTAATTTGCAGAGAAAAGATAAATTTTGACATTGTGCGTCAAATGTTTGGTTGTGGAACCCTTGCTTCGTTTTCGTTTCTCCTATTTATAGTCATCCTTTGTAACCGTCGTGCAACCGCCTCTTGGTAACTGTTGCTCCACTGCTTGGTGCTTGATGTAGCTTGCTTGACGCCTTGACTTTCTTGCGTGCTTGCCACTTGATGACCCCTTGTGCCATGGAGGTGTCTTGTTTGGTGAGTGAAGGCTTCATGCTTGGTGGTACTCGTGCTAACCACCTTGACATGACGTTATGCTCGACACCAGGGTGATTGGGGGTTTGATGGATGCACACTGACCCCCTTGGGGTGACATCATGCTTGCAGGGTCTTGGCAAGGTGGTCTACCATGTGATGATATACATGGCTGACACCCTAGTGTTTGGTATCGGTGCTTGACCCCCTTGGACGGTGTCATGTTTGACCCCCCCTGTGGTTGGATCTCCATACTTAGCCAAATTTTTCCTCGGCATCATGCTTGACACCCTAGTGCAAGGTAGGTGGCTACGGTACTTAGTGCTTGACCCCCTTGGACGATGTCATGCATGACCCCCCTTGCATGATGTCATGCTTGTCCCCCTTGTAGTTGGGTCTCCATACTTAGACAAATTTGGGCTTTCTTTACCACCATGGTCTAGGGACTCCCCTGCCAACACGCTCGATACCCGGTAGGCGGGTAGACCCCCTTGCGTCTCGTCATACTCAACTCACCTTGGATGGTATCATGCTTGACCCCCTTGGACGATGTCATGCATGACCCCCTGGTGCAAGGTAGGTAAATGGCATAGTGCTTGACCCCCCTTGTGTTATGGGTCTCAACACTTAGCCAATTTTTGCCTTCTTTCCCATTACGGTCTAGTGCGATGATCATTTTGCATGACATCATGCTTGACCCCCCTGGGATGATGTCATGTTTGACCCCCCTTGTGTTGTGGGTCTCAACACTTAGCCAAATTTTTGCTTTCTTCGCCACCACGTCTAGGGACTCGCGTTGCCCTTCTTCACTTGCCAACATGTTTGATACCTAGTAGGCGGCTAGACCCCCTTGCGCTCTTCATACTCGACTCACCTTGGATGGCATCAAGCTTGACCCCCCTGGACGATGTCATGCATGACCCTCCTGGTGCAAGGTAGGTAGATGGCATAGTACTTGACCCCCCTGGGATGATGTCATGCTTGAACCCCCTTGTGCTATGGGTCTTAACACTTAGCCAAATTTTGCCTTCTTTCCATCATGTCAAGCGCGATGACCCCTTTGCATTACATCATGCTTGACTCCCCTTGTGCTGTGTGTCTCAACACTTAAGGGTACTCCCGATGATCCCCATTGTGGTTGGGTCTCCACGACTTGGGTGGTTGATGTTGAAGGGTGTCAAAGTGTTTGGTGGGTCAAGTGGTGTGTGTTGAGGTACCTGGTATGAAGCCCAAAATACCATTATTTAGGCCCAACCTAAACCAATTTAATTAACATGGTTAAGTTGGCCTTATTAATCACTACCACTCCTTGAAAATAATCAATGTGGTATTTAGTGATTTTTTAGTGGTAAACCAAATTCCCACCAGGTGTGCCAATTTGTTTTCCGGCGAGGAAAAACTTGTGTTTGAACGCAATGAATGCACCTTGACTTCTCGAACAACGATAAATAACACGGTTCACTCCTCTCCGTACAAAGTTCGAACAAGGGTGTTTGATGTTTTTGATGGGTTTTTTTAGAACAATCTAAGTTACTCTACTCCTATGGAGGTTCAGTGAGAGCTCCGAAAGACTAAAAGTTGATTTGCAGAGAAAAGATAAATTTTGACATTGTGCGTCAAATGTTTGTTTGTGGACCCTTGCTTCGTTTTCGTTTCTCCTATTTATAGTCATCCTTTGTAACCGTCGTGCAACCGCCTCTTGGTAACCGTTGCTCCACTGCTTGGTGCTTGATGTAGCTTGCTTGACGCCTTGACTTTCTTGCGTGCTTGCCACTTGATGACCCCTTGTGCCATGGAGGTGTCTTGTTTGGTGAGTGAAGGCTTCATGCTTGGTGGTACTCGTGCTAACCACCTTGACATGACGTTATGCTCGACACCAGGGTGATTGGGGGTTTGATGGATGCACACTGACCCCCTAGGGGTGACATCATGCTTGCAGGATCTTGGCAAGGTGGTCTACCATGTGATGATATACATGGCTGACACCCTAGTGTTTGGTATCGGTGCTTGACCCCCTTGGACGGTGTCATGTTTGACCCCCCCTGTGGTTGGATCTCCATACTTAGCCAAATTTTGTCTCGGCATCATGCTTGACACCCTAGTGCAAGGTAGGTGGCTGCGGTACTTGGTGCTTGACCCCCTTGGACGATGTCATGCATGACCCCCCTTGCATGATGTCATGCTTGTCCCCCTTGTAGTTGGGTCTCAATACTTAGACAAATTTTGGCTTTCTTTACCGCCATGGTCTAGGGACTCCCCTGCCAACACGCTCGATACCCGATAGGCGACTAGACCCCCTTGCCTCTCGTCATACTCGACTCACCTTGGATGGTATCATGCTTGACCCCCTTGGACGATGTCATGCATGACCCCCCTGGTGCAAGGTAGGTAAATGGCATAGTGCTTGACCCCCCTTGTGCTATGAGTCTCAACACTTAGCCAATTTCTGCCTTCTTTCCCATCACGGTCTAGTGCGATGACCCCTTTGCATGACATCATGCTTGACCCCCCTGGGATGATGTCATGTTTGACCCCCCCCCCCTCTTGTGTTGTGGGTCTCAACACTTAGCCAAATTTTGGCTTTCTTCGGCACCACGTCTCCCCCTTGCATCTCGTCATACTCGACTCACCTTGGATGGCATCATGTTTGACCCCCCTGGACGATGTCATGCATGACCCTCCTGGTGCAAGGTAGGTAGATGGCATAGTACTTGACCCCCCTGGGATGATGTCATGCTTGATCCCCCTTGTGCTATGGGTCTCAACACTTAGCCAAATTTTGCCTTCTTTCCATCATGTCAAGCGCGATGACCCCTTTGCATTACATCATGCTTGACTCCCCTTGTGCTGTGTATCTCAACACTTAAGGGTACTCCCGATGATCCCCCTTGTGGTTGGGTCTCCACGACTTGGGTGGTTGATGTTGAAGGGTGTCAACGTGTTTGGTGGGTCAAGTGGTGTGTGTTGAGGTACCTGGTATGAAGCCCAAAATACCATTATTTAGGCCCAACCTAAACCAATTTAATTAACATGGTTAAGTTGGCCTTATTAATCACTACCACTCCTTGAAAATAATCAATGTGGTATTTAGTGATTTTTTAGTGGTAAACAAATGCCCCCCAACTACTTAGTGCATAAGGATTATGGACTAAGTAGTTAACATCAACTAAACCACTTAGCTTCACACCTCGTACGTATCAAGCTCACCTCTCAAACCCTCCTGCGGCTAAGCTTTGGGTTTATCAAAGTCGATTAAAAGATAAAAAGCCATACTTTTCTCATTCAACCATTTATAGGACTGCGATCTACTTGCCCCCCCCCCCCCCCCCCCCCAAGACAAGTTAACTCCTCATTGCCTTAGTAGCAAATTTTATTTTTATTATTGATGAAGTGTGATACCAATCTACTTGGCTTCACTGCCCCCATATCAACGTTATACTTTTGTCTCAATATACCCTCCATGCAATGGCTAACTACTCAAGCTAGACTCCATCATGAGGGTATCATTAGGGTGTGGGAGGCTTGGCATGCCGGCCACCATGGTGGCCTACTAACATTGGACCCCTTGACACCCCACGTCCCAAAGAGAAGGGACATAGGGCTTGAGATACTTACCATTGATCAATCGATCATGAAACACACCATCTAAATCTTTTAACAAGTAGGCCCCATTGGGCCGGGTGGCATGGACAATGAAGGGTCCACGCCAGTTGGGAGACCACTTGCCAAACTTCGGATCCTTTTCCCCAATTGGCAAGTGTAGTTTCCATACTAACTCTCCTTCTTCAAAGGACTTGTGCTTAACCCTCTTGTTGTAAGAGCGAGCTACTTTGTCCTTTTGCACCCTGATGTTGTCGAGTGCTTTGAGTTGGAGTTCATCAAGATCACATAATTCCAACATCATCGACTCATAGTACTCTGAGGGTGTCAACTCATGTTGCTTCATGTACCTCAATGACTTGACTGTTATTTCGAGTGGCAGGAAGGCCTCATGGCCATATGTCAAAGAGAAAGGGGTCACCTTTGTACTACTACGTGGTGACATCCGATAAGCCCATAAGGCTTCCGACAAGACTTCATGCCACATTCTCGAGTTATCTTCAATCATCTTAGACAGTATACCCTTCACCGCCTTGTTGGATGCTTCAGCTTGACCATTGGCTTTAGCGTAGTAAGGAGTGGAGTGTATGATTTTGATGCCGTCTTCTTCGGCAAAAGCCATCACTTCCCCTCCCATGAACACGGTACCCTGGTCAGCTGTTATGGTGGCTGGCAACCCGAACCTATGTATTATATTCTCTTTGATGAATTTGATGATTTATCCTTGATTGACCACTGTCATTGGCTTGGCCTCCACCCACTTGGTGAAGTAATCAGTTGCCAAGATGACAAACGTATGTCTATTAGAAGATGGTGGATAAATCTTCCCAATCAAGTCCATGGCCCATCCAATGAAAGGTCGAGGTTTGATGATAGACTTCAAGTCGATGGCTGGAGCTCTTTGCACCGGGCCATGTCGTTGACAAGCTTCACACCCCTTAGCAAAAGCGGCACAATCTTCCCCGATGGATGGCCAGTAGTACCCATACCGGTGGAGTACCCATCTCATAGAAGGGCCTGCTTGATGAGCACCACATATTCCTTCATGAACCTCACCCATGGCTTGTAGGGCCTCCTTGCCCCCAAGCACTTCAACAGTAAACCGTTTGGCCTCCTTTTGAATAAGACCTCGTCCAACAAGACATAGTTCCTTGCCTTGAATTTAATGGCTCGATCCACATCCCCTGTTGGATTCTTCAAGTATGCTACCAAGGGGGTACGCCAGTCACTGGCATCCTCTTCAATCGTAAACACATCTACTCTTTGCTTAAGTCTCGCATGTAGTGGGTTGAGTGTTCGCACAAAAATTTGCTCTCCCCCTTCATGAGCAAACTCTTTGAACCCCGAAGCTAGTTGTGCTAAGTAATTGGCCTTGCCATTATCCTGGCGAAGAACATACTTGATGGAGACATTATCAAAGTGGGTAATTAATATTTGGACATAATCAAGATATGTCTCTAGTATGCAATTGATGCATCGAAATTCACCAAGTACTTGGTAGACTACCAGTTGGGAGTCCCCTTGGATGTTAACACTTTTGACTTTCAAGTCAACAAGCATCTCCAGCCCTACCACTAAAGCCTCATACTCGGCTTGATTGTTAGTGCATGGGAGATCAAGTGTAAAGGCAAAGTGCATGGCATGCCCTGATGGGGAAGTGAGGACCACGCCAGCACCCGCTCCAGACCGTGTTTTTGATCCGTCAAAGTATAAAGTCCAAGGGGCCTCCTCCACCATATCTATTTCTACCAACTCAGCTGGCACATCCACTCATGGGTGGTCAGCTAAAAAGTCAGTCAATGCTTGGCCCTTTATGGCCTTTTGAGGCACATATTGCAAGTTGAACTCAGATAGTGCAAGTTTCCACTTACCAATCCTCCCATGGATGATTGGCCGGTGTAGACACCACATTTTGTCCGGAGCAACCATCCTGCTCAAAACTCAAAAGAATATCCACTTAAAAAGAAAACTCAAGTAAAAATTTGGACGAGGTTGGTTGAGATTAGCAATGGCAAATCAATAAGTACCAACGATTTTTTTTAAGTCCGTTTTATTTGGTTCGAATGTTTGTACTAGGTAGGATTAGTAGTAGCTAATGGCTACCGAATTTGCTTTATTTAGAATAACAATAGTATTTGGTTCGAATATTTGTACTAGGTAGGATTGGCAGTAGCTAATGGCTACCGAATTCGCTTTATTTGGAATAACAATAGTATGTTGTCACGACCTATGCTAATATCATTGTATTAAATTGGTCTCATTGGTCTAAAGTTGGTCAAAAGGGATAGAACGATTGGTAATTTTGCTTAACGACCAAAATCCATGATTTGGGAAGCATTGATTAGATGTTTGGATTTGGTTTGAAATTGGATAAGCGAACAAATTGGGTTGGAAGAATCAATGGAATGTTTGAGCAATACATACAATGATCATCTAATTCTGAAGGCAATAACATAAATAAATAAATGTGTAATTACAAATTACAATTTATTAGTAATTATACATTAAAAAAAAAAACTATTAGAAACCAGCCCATACCAGCAACCAACACTTAGGCCCAATTCTCAAACCATTAAACTCAACCCAGGCCCATATTTCGGCCCA